TATCGTTACCAGATGGCCTAAGACGGTGATGTCGTGGGTTTTTAGGGGGTCAATACTTTCATGTCAACATGATCTGTACTGGCTTCCGTAGAGTCACTCACGTGTCCTTGTTTACTGGTGACAGGTAAGGTAGTATCGCTCACACATTCGCCAGGAAAGACGGTCCCGTTAGGAATTTGAGCCAGTGGTATACTGGGGGTCCTTGCATGAGTTTTACCTTCACTGTTGCCCCGCAAAACTTCCGAATACGACTTTGAGCATGTGCCAGTTTTACTGGTGAGACATGTTAGTGCATTTCGTAGTTCTCTGATAGTGTCAGCAAGATGTTTATTGTCTTTTTTCATTTCCTCCATTAATTTCAGCATTCGGCACTCTCTCACTTGACTGTCTTTCAGTGCATTTTCTACTGTTTTCAGACGTTCACAGACGGAATGGATTATGCTGTTGTTTTCAATTTCAGTACCAACATCTTTGATATGGTGACGTAACATCCCCTGTGTAAGGTCTGAGTGAGTACTTTCACTAAGATGTGAACCAGATAGTTGGCTACCTGGAAATGTCCCATCGAGCGCCCCCACACCAGTTTTGCTCTGCCTTTACTGAATACAGAGTCTATCTCGGAATTATCACCAGAAATAAAGGCTTGGATAACAGCAGTCTTTAGCATACATTTTATAACTCGGGCTTGCAGACGTAGTTTTTTCTGACAACGGGTTTTCCTTTAGGACATTCTGAAATGTTCATCGCTCGACCAAGTAAAATGTTTCTATACCAAATCACAGTCCCCTCTGATCGCTCACATATCTCAGTAATTTTCTTCACATATTCATCTCTTGAGAGATTGATAGTTTTACAGGAAAACTCACTTCAGACAGAAATCTTGGATATATTGATCAGGAGAACTCACATCAGACAGATATCTCAGACACATTGATCAGGAAAACTCACATCAGACAGAAATCTCAGATACATTTATCAGGAAAATTACAGAATGAGGTCACACAAACTCGTACCAGACGGAGTTCACACACACTCGAACCAGGCAGAGGTTATTTGTAACACTCGGACCAGACAGAGGTCACACAAACTCGTTCCAGTCAGAGGTCACACACACTCTGACCAGACAGAGTTTACACACTCAGGCCAGACTGAGGTCACACACATTCGAACCAGTCAGAGGTCACAAACACTCGGACCAAACAAAGGTCATGCACACAGTGGAACAAGTCAGAGGTCACACACACACTCTGATCAGACAATGGTATAAGCATATGTGTCTGCCCATATGATATACCCGGAAAAAATAATAATCAGGGTCATTTAAGGACGTGCCGGGTCAATTAATAATCAGGGTCATTTCAGGACGTGCCGAGTAACAATTAACATCGGGGTCATTTAAGGACGTGTCGGGTAACCATTAACAATTAGGGTCATTTCAGGACGTGTCGGGTCAATTAACAATTAGGGTCATTTCAGGACGTGCCGAGTAACCATTAACAATTAGGGTCATTTAAGGACGTGTCGGGTAACCATTAACAATTAGGGTCATTTAAGGACGTGTCGGGTCAATTAACAATCAGAGTCATTTAAGGACGTGTCGGGTAACCATTAACATTCAGAGTCATTTAAGGACGTGTCGGGTAACCATTAACAATTAGGGTCATTTAAGGACGTGCCGGGTCAATTAACAATCAGAGTCATTTAAGGACGTGTCGGGTAACCATTAACATTCAGAGTCATTTAAGGACGTGTCGAGTAACCATTAACATTCAGAGTCATTTAAGGACGTGTCGGGTAACCATTAACAATTAGGGTCATTTAAGGACGTGTCGGGTCAATTAACAATCAGTCATTTAAGGACGTGCCGAGTAACAATTAACATCGGGGTCATTTAAGGACGTGTCGGGTAACCATTAACATTCAGAGTCATTTCAGGACGTGTCGGGTAACCATTAACATTTAGAGTCATTTCAGGACGTGTCGGGTAACCATTAACATTTAGGGTCATTTAAGGACGTGTCGGGTAACCATTAACAATTCGGGTCATTTAAGGACGTGCCGAGTAACAATTAATAGTCAGGGACATTTAAGGACGTGCCGAGTAACAATTAACATCGGGGTCATTTAAGGACGTGTCGGGTAACCATTAACATTCAGAGTCATTTCAGGACGTGTCGGGTAACCATTAACATTTAGGGTCATTTAAGGACGTGTCGGGTAACCATTAACAATTAGGGTCATTTAAGGACGTGCCGAGTAACCATTAACATTTAGGGTCATTTAAGGACGTGTCGGGTAACCATTAACAATCAGAGTCATTTAAGGACGTGCCGAGTAACAATTAACATCGGGGTCATTTAAGGACGTGTCGGGTAATCATTAACATTCAGAGTCATTTCAGGACGTGTCGGGTAACCATTAACATTTAGAGTCATTTCAGGACGTGTCGGGTAACCATTAACATTTAGGGTCATTTAAGGACGTGTCGGGTAACCATTAACATTTAGGGTCATTTAAGGACGTGTCGGGTAACCATTAACAATCAGAGTCATTTAAGGACGTGCCGAGTAACAATTAACATCGGGGTCATTTAAGGACGTGTCGGGTAACCATTAACATTCAGAGTCATTTCAGGACGTGTCGGGTAACCATTAACATTTAGGGTCATTTAAGGACGTGTCGGGTAACCATTAACAATTAGGGTCATTTAAGGACGTGCCGAGTAACCATTAACAATTAGGGTCATTTAAGGACGTGTCGGGTAACCATTAACAATTAGGGTCATTTAAGGACGTGTCGGGTAACCATTAACAATTAGGGTCATTTAAGGACGTGTCGGGTAACCATTAACAATTAGGGTCATTTAAGGACGTGTCGGGTAACCATTAACAATTAGGGTCATTTAAGGACGTGTCGGGTCAATTAACAATCAGGGTCATTTAAGGACGTGTCGGGTAACCATTAACAATTAGGGTCATTTAAGGACGTGTCGGGTAACCATTAACAATTAGGGTCATTTAAGGACGTGCCGAGTAACAATTAATAGTCAGGGACATTTCAGGACGTTCCGAGTAACCATTAATATTTAGGGTCATTCCAGGACGTGTCGGGTCAATTAACAATCAGAGTCATTTAAGGACGTGCCGAGTAACAATTAATAGTCAGGGACATTTAAGGACGTGCTGAGTAACAATTAATAGTCAGGGACATTTCAGGACGTTCCGAGTAACAATTAACAATCAGGGTCAGTTTACCAGCACTTTGTACATTATATATTCCATTGTTTTTAAGATTATTTTTCTGTATTTGAAAAGGGGATCATTCCTGTTGTTTTCTCCTGTAAAAAATATATAGATATTTGAATAATTATTATTGCTGCTGTACATACATGTGTCAGTGTATTTTGTCAGAACTGACTTGATCAGTACGGTATCATTAGACAGTTTAATTCCGTTCCCTGATCAATTCAAATCACGAATCTTTGAAAATTGAAACGTAACACAACATACTCTAGAATTTTAATGTTACATGTAGGCTTAAATAATCTATATCGGACAGAAAATTACAATTATAGCGAGCCAAGCTACTGCTTGAAGGCATAATATGTGGAAATCTTAAAACGTTTACGAAAGTGTTAGTAAATATTACCAAAGTCTTAAACCTGATAAGCATATACTTCAGTGGTCTAAAATGCATTTTGTGAAAAAAAAAATTATGGGGAAAATAAGATTTTGCTCATTTGATCAGAGACGTATGTAACACAGCATATATATATACCTCTCTGATCTGATAGAAACGATATTTCCGTTAACGTGAAACTCGCTATATTCTTGTCCAACGAGACTGTAAATTGACGCATGAATCATACTCTACGGTGTACCTCTGTGTGTATATACTGTTGAATCAATCATCGCTAAATTTCGGAAAATTCAGATATAAAAGATAAAACAAATCTTGTCATAAAATTATCGAAAGCAACGGTAACGTTGGTGTGCACTAATATTGATCACGTGACGTTGGTGTTTACGTAGTGCCTGCTTTGTGGTATAAGTTATCAGAGACGTATATGTGTTATATACGTCTCTGAAGTTATCTATGACTTCAATATTCCCCATCCTATTTTTATGTAAGCAAATAATGTGTAGGCTCATATTTTGGAAAACCCAGTGGTAAACAATAACACGCCACAAAATAATAATGATAAATAAATCAGCATGCCATGTTGATTTCTACGCGTGGGTTACGTTGCTATGATTATATCCTTTTTAATACCTGTTGCGTCCAATCCCTTAATATGTACAATTTATTTGAAAATTTCGCTTTATAGATGTATAAATTTGCCCACGTCATCGTGGATCTAAATATAGCCTTTGTGCTTGTAATTGTGTAATGAAACAGAAATGGCCGCTGGTTTATTTTTGCTCAAACCGACATGCATATGGCCCAGTGGAAACAAAAAGTACATCTGTATATGTGGAGTAGAATACATTGGAGGGAAAATTAAAATGGTGTATCAATTTCTCCAGATAGGTTTAACATGATTCAGAGCATAGGTGAATTGATTTTATGTTTTACATTCTGCCGCTTAGGTATTTGATAAAAACATTCCACAATCTATATTTATCAACACCTCAAAAAGCCACGTCTTACTTAAAAATCTCACAAATTTCATTATCAATGTGTAGTAAGAGATTTCCATGTAAACAACCTAGATATATTTTCCTTTTAGATATGATGCTTTTGCATGAAATGACTTAAACTTGTAACTACGCAATATGTACCGATTTACAGGTTTAATTGGGTCGATGGAGTAAATATAGTCGTGGCGAGGTCATTTCTATTTATAGATAGTGGACAGGTTTGTGCTTTGGTAGGGAAATCCCCGTTTTGCAGCCAAGAGCACTTTTCATTGGTCAAAATAACACACGTGATCATGGGACTTTCCCGAAATGCCATTTTTCCATGGTAGGTGTTTCGAAAGAAGATGGGAAATGTGTGACGAATTGTATTCTGGATGATTTCAAGGGCGTTGGAAAAACAACAACATGTTGTGAATGTGTAAATATGGACATGTAGTGTATCATGATTGAGACTAGAGTTCAAGGATTGAGTAAAATGTCTGGAAAACGGAATAAATCGGGTCAGAAATCGCCTGGGCATGTTGTCGCCAGCGCGGACAATTTGGCCGAGAAGGAACGAGCGGATCGTATCGCCGCCGCCGAGGCTATGTCTTGTCTATCTTCGGTTATTCTTCTGTCTTCCGATTTGGAAAAGGAGACAAACGTCACTTTGCCTCCTAAGGTTTCACAGAGAGGTCAGAAACGGACTCGAAATTCTCAGAAATCCGCTCCAGGGAATAAAACTACTACTGAATCAAAACGGGGGAAGTCCCGTAGCGGGAGAGGCCGAGGGGCACGCTCCGCCAATCACGGACGTGGCGCTAGTACAGTTAGACCCGAGGGGAATTCCCGGGATGTTGACAACGTGGTTGATGGGGTAACAAATAATACACACGAAGATTCTCGTGTTGGAGGAAGGCTAGTCCCTAAGGTAAAGGCCGATAATAACCTTGATAAAAGTGCATACGAACGGACAGTTTCTCAATCACAAGGGCCTGTCATGGTCTCTGCGCCTCCTAGGTCACGTCAAGGAGGTGTAGTTACCCCACCCTCTAACTCAAACCAAGTTACCAGCATACCTAATGCACTTCACTTTGCTATTCTATCCAAATTGACCGCTTCTGGCCAAGATCATAAACAGACACCTGGTGAACACTTGGTGTTAAAACTTCCACTTGTGATAAACAATGACAGTACAGAGGTGAAGTCTGTGGCCAGCCCACCTGCTGTGGTTAGTCCAGCAGCCAGTACTGATAGTGTTGAGTTCACACAGTCAACAGTGGAAAAACTTCTACAACCTCCAAGCATTAATAAATTTGACTCCTTAGAATCAGCGCTTCCTCTGAAAAAACGGAAATTACTAAGTTATACAAATAGTACCACAAATACCAATGAGGAGAGTGTTACCATGGTTACCAGTCAAGTCACCAAGCATGAACAACCAGATGATGTTGTTGACCTTACAACAGTCAAAGCTGAACCAGAAGATAACCAACAGCAGCATGAAATCGGTAAAATCAAGCTGTATCTATATTGTATAGTATGCTTATCCCACAGCAAGCTTTGTGTATGTAAGACGGAGACAGATAATGTATTTATCAGACAATATAAGCTCTGTTAATATGCCACTCACATACAAAACAGTTCAGTAGATATTAATATAATCTAATATGCTATTATATTTTGCTGTAATAAGTTATATAAAGTTATATGTTATTCTCAAGACAGTGGTAGGATGTTTTACTTGGTGAATCAAAAAGAAAAACTTTTGTGTCAATTTTGTGTTAATTTTAAGAAAATCTATCAGACATGAGTGAGGTCTGGATAATACAGTAATTGGATCAAGAAGAATGTCTGTAACAAATTAACTCCATTGTCTTGTAGCATGCTAATTTCTGGTAAACAACAAGATGTTGAAACTCTAACAGGCAGTTTATGGCAGAATATTTGTTTATATATAGAACTGTTCGTTTGAAATATAATTCTGATTAAAATGCAGATCCTAATGATCTCTCTGTTACTCTCCGTATTAGGATCTGTCAAGATTCCATTAGGGATGAACTTATTGTGGGACTAATATAATGTAAGATATTCTAAAGAAACCGCTAAATATCTTCATTACATCATCACATGTTCAAAGATGATTATTAAGATTTGTAACTAATTCTCTTCTTTATGATAAGTGTACATGTATCACGTTGTAAAATACTTCTTTGATTATTGATTGTTTTCCTCTGCTTTTTGGTTTTATTTTGTGTCGTTTTTTTTTTTCATTTTTGTTAAGTTGTATAGATTTTCATTAAATTGAACATTTTGGAAATTAAAAACAAAACAGCTGCAAAATTTGGTCAGCCAGAAATCAATAAAAAAAGAATGTTAACTTTTTCAGCACCCCCAACATCTTCCTCTACTGTCATAGTCCCAGTCAATGTGACCCCAGTGACCTCTGCGACCTTGAACCCTGTGAGTGTTGACCCCCGAACAAGCCTCATGCTCCTGACCGAAATGCAGATGGCCCTTCAGCAGGATGAGGATGGGGACTTGTAAGTACACTTAACTGTAACAGAATAATAGTTTGGGTATATTCAGATGTGGCAAAACAAGAGAGTTTTTTATTAAGTGTTGTTGTACTCAGACATCAGCACAGAGTAAGTTCTTCTTCCATAGCAGTTGAGGACACCATTGAAATGTGATTGAATCACCGGCTAACACTTCCTCAATACCTGAGCTTTCACAAGTATTCTGTACTCCAACAATGTTAGAGGTTTTATGTGGCGAGTTATTTATGACAGGCGGTCGCAGATGACACAATGATGTCAGAAAATAAAGCGGCCGACCAGCAGTCTCTTATGTTATAGGAATACAGTATACTGACACTGACTTGTGTTATAGTACAGTATACTGACGCTGACTTGTGTTATAGTACAGTATACTGACGCTGACTTATGTTATAGTACAGTATACTGACACTGACTTGTGTTATAGTACAGTATACTGACACTGGCTTATGTTATAGTACAGTATACTGACACTGACTTGTGTTATAGTACAGTATACTGACACTGACTTGTGTTATAGTACAGTATACTGACACTGACTTGTGTTATAGTACAGTATACTGACACTGACTTGTGTTATAGTACAGTATACTGACACTGACTTGTGTTATAGTACAGTATACTGACACTGACTTGTGTTATAGTACAGTATACTGACACTGACTTGTGTTATAGTACAGTATACTGACACTGACTTGTGTTATAGTACAGTATACTGACACTGACTTATGTTATAGTACAGTATACTGACACTGACTTATGTTATAGTACAGTATACTGACACTGACTTATGTTATAGGTGTACAGTATACTGACACTGACATATGTTATAGTACAGTATACTGACACTGACTTGTGTTATAGTACAGTATACTGACACTGACTTGTGTTATAGTACAGTATACTGACACTGACTTGTGTTATAGTACAGTATACTGACACTGACTTGTGTTATAGTACAGTATACTGACACTGACTTGTGTTATAGTACAGTATACTGACACACAATTTTACTTTAGAATATGCATTTTACTTAAGGTTTAGTAGCAAAATTTGGGATTAGATTTCAATCATGGTTGTGAAGGAGAACCCATTTTTTAATCTTTAGAACAAAGGATGGTAATTAAAATGATGGTATATATATGGGTGAGATATGGTGGTTTTTTTCTCTCCAATAAGAAAGATCATGTTATTTATATTGACTTGAGTGCCATTTTTCTGTTTGATAAAATCATGCATCTTCACAAAAACACTGATATATTGAATATAGAATCATTAATGATAAATTTTTATCATAAGAAGGCATGAGAAGGTTAGAGAATTGAAAACAAAACTGACAAGAGCTGAGTGAGGTTGATGGAAACATGACATTGCTGTCAAAATGATGTTAAAAAACAACATTAATCTCTGGTTTCCCAAAAAAATAAACACTAGTTGAAATGTCAGTTTCGGAATCGCTAACACCTATGTGACACTGATTTGAGATTTTAAGATGTTGGGATAATTATTCTAAAATATTTAACATTGCAGACCTCTACATATTGCTGTAGCTCAGGAGAATATTGTAATGGTCCAAAAATTTGTCCATCTTATGTCCATCTCGGGGAAGAGTGTGGATAAATACAATAAAGCGCAACAGGTAAGATTGGTCAGAAATTTGTTCATCTATCCATCTTCTGTCCATCTCTTGCAATAGCAAGAGTATGAATTAATTCATTGAGCTAAAGGTGCTGTCAGGGAAATCTGTCAAAGCCACAGTTCAGTGGCTAACAATCTCTTTGGTATGGGCCAGGCCAGAGAAGTTGTATTTATATAAGAGTAAATTGATAATTTTTATGACCATTGTGTACTTTTTAGATTAGTGTATTGACCTTTATGTACTTGTTTGACCTATGTGTGCTGTCTTGACCTTTGTGTAATGTTGTGACCAGGTTTGATGTAAGACATTTTGGCTTGTTTTGTAGACACCTCTACATTTGGCTGTTGAGCTGAATTTTGTTGATGCTGTCAAAACTCTGTTGCTGGCACGAGCAAACCCTAACCTTGTCAACAAACGAGGGGAGAATGCCGTCCATCTGGCAGTCAAAGTCCGGTCATCTGACTGTCTTGACTTCATGATACAACACTCGCAGAATAAAATTGACCTAGATACTAGAAACTTTGAAGGTACAGTATTATACAATAAAATATTGTTCCTCAAGTATTTTCTAGGAAATTTGGTAACTTTGTCATTATTGATCTGGTAAAACATTTTATCTGTTAAAACCTTGTTACACTGCCACATTTTATCTGTTAAAACCTTGTTACACTGCCACATTTTATCTGGAAAGGCCTTGCTATATTGCCACATTTTATCTGTTAAAAACTTGTTACACTGCCACATTTTATCTGTTAAAACCTTGTTACACTGCCACATTTTATCTGTTAAAACCTTGTTACATCTGGAAAGGCCTTGCTATATTGCCACATTTTATCTGTTAAAACCTTGTTACACTGTCAAGTTTTATCTGTTAAAATCTTGTTACACTGCCACATTTTATCTGGAAAAACCTTACATTGCCACAATGCCACAAAACCAACACCATGACTTCTAGTGTAGATGTACAATGTTCCTGTGTTTTTCAATACACTCTCTCGGGGGGGGGGGGGGGGGGGGGGGGGGTATAACCAACGCTGTGACTTCTAGTGTAGATGAACAATGTTCCTGTATTTTTCAATACACTCTCTCGGGTGGGGGTATAACTAACGCTGTGACTTCTAGTGTAGATGTACAATGTTCCTGTATTTTTCAATACAGATACATAATAAAAGAATTGTTTAGAGGAAAAAATACTTCAAATGAATAACAGCCAGGTGTAAGACTTTAGCATTTCGGAATTTTCTTACTCCGAGAATCTCTGAAATCTTCCCATAGGAAAAAGCTTATATATTTGTAGAAGAACTGGTTTGGAATATTCCTTACATGCAGACTATGTTGCTGACAAAGTTATTCAAGATGAACAGTTGTGATATAGAAATAGGAAGTAAAATATACCTAAATAAATTTGTTGCAGGGTTAGCTCCCCTACATACAGCTGTTGAGAAAAATAATCTGGAGATTGTTGATATGTTACTCCGAGCAGGTGCTGACATCAACATTTTGGTAAGTGTTGACAGGCGTGGTTGGAAGATTGTCTTGTCTCACAAACTATCATATTGATTTTAAGGGATATTAAACCAGTTTCCCAAGTTCACATGGTTGAAAAAAGTGAAATCTTTAATTTCCATAAAATTTTGAATAACCAAAATGTTTAGCCCAAAGGTCATGATATTTGGTCAGTAGCAAGCAGTGATGAAGGTATCTAAATAATATCTGTCATCAACAGGTTCAAAATTCTTTTAAAGTTCATGCCTAAGTATAATTTAACTAAGATTCCCCAGTTTAAGGATAGAGTCTGTTATTTTTACATTTTCTTTCTCATTTATAGTGAGACAGTTAAGGTAGTCTAAGTTTTAAGTAGACACAATGATGAAATACTGTTCAAAGGGAACACAGAATGATATAACGAAAGTTAACAATGAAAGGTATATATTTTTGCTACAACTACCTACTATTTTTCTTTTCTGTTTTTCTGTAGGATGGTAAAAGTGGCAAGACACCATTGTTTTATGCAGTAGAACACAACTTACTGCCAATGATTGAGTTCCTTCTGTCACATGGTGCCAATGTAGATCTTGCAAACTATGCTGGTATCACCGTTGTCATGGCAGCCCAGGCACGAGGTCATCAAGAGGCTGCGACCTTACTGCTGAAGGGAATGGACTCCCAGGCCTATCATGAGATGAAGGAGAGTACTCCAACCAAAAAGGTGGGTTCAAAGGTCAACAGTACATTAGAATGATTTGTGAGAAGAGAATAAAGTATTGTTTTATTGTTTCGTGTCGTATTCCATTGTATTTGAAATTTTCAGAAAACAACTTTTGTTTTGCCTTCATTTGAAAAAATATTTCTTGTTCATTTTTGAAAAACAAATAATGAACTAAATATCCATTTTTTAAGACAAGCCGATTAGAAAGGTCAGATGATTACGTAATCCTTCATCTATATTGGAAATATTCTGAACGTAATTCCTGACTTGTTTGTTTTGTACCAACTGACTTCGATTATTGTCACAAGTTTTTATTTTTCATTCATTTTCAGATTCCTATTCCGAGAATTCCAAGTAAATCCCACCTTATCGTTAACAGTGAAAATTTAAGTACATCCTGTCAGAAAAACTACAAGATGTCCACTCAGAACTCAGACTCCAATTCTGGTGACTCTTTGTTGAAATCGTACCAAGGAGTGATTGCCCAACATCTAACAGAGGGACCTCTTTCTCTGCCTACTGATATTAAGAAGGAGAGAAACAGTGACAATAGACAATCGGAATATCGATTGATCAATTTGGTACAACCATCAAATTTGCTCAATGGGCGTGATCAGCCAGAGAATTTGATTTCGCAGTCTCAGACTCACCAAGAAGTGACAATGTCTGATATTCCGCGACAAGTTTCTCCTGCCACAGTGTCGACAAGTGGTCCTAGACGAGGTTATGAATCAAAGAGTTCTACCTCTCCCCTTCATCGTAAGGCTAATAGTAATGTGAAGCAAATCTCATCCCTAGAGGACATACAATCTTCACAATCTTCCAAGCCATTAAAAGGTCATCACCGAACCCTTCAAAACCAAGCCTTGACCCTAACAAGTCATCACCAATCCCTACAAAACCAAGCTGTGACCCTTACAAGTCAAACCCAAATTTCTCAGAGCCCAGCTCTTTCCCATGAAAGTCAAGTCCACCTACACAAAAGCCAAGCCCTGCCTACGACAAGTCGGGTTCAATCCCCACATGACAAACAAGCATCTTCCATTCAAATTATGAACAGAACCCAGCATCCGCATCACAAATCTCCTCCGGACTCACAAGATAATCCAGAACCTGTGGATAATAAACAACTTCATGTAGAAAATTTACCTCATAAAGAAAGACTTTCTCATCATCATAAAGATGGCTCCTCCCACACAAGGGACAGTTCCCCAATTCCCAGGGACAATTCTGTCTTTAGAAGCGACAGTTCAGTCTATCCCTTGACTAGCAACAGTCAGTCAAGAGAAACTTCACAACATCTGATGAACAGCTCCCACAACTTGCATAACAGTTCTTCCATTTCTTCAAACAGTATCTCAAAACCTCTGAATAGTTCACCCAGCCTGTCTTTCCATCCGGGCAGTTCGTTTCATCCTAAAGACAACTCCATTCAAACCCGAGTCAATTCTCCACACCAGAGGGATAGCTCACCTTACAGAAGTCACCAACAGAAGAGGATTGTTAAAGTGAATTCCAGTGGAAAAATGCACGTTGAGAGGGCAGGGTCAGGATCAAAAGGTCAAAGTTCAGGGTCATCTAAGGGGTCAATGCCATCTTCCCAAATGTATCACTTGACTAATATTTCTCGGTCAACTAAAGACATTTTAGCTGCAAAACTCCAAGGAATTTACACATCAAAAGCAGGTCAGACCAATCGACCTCTTAACCTGAGCACAGGTATACCAGACAATGTGAATGTGAAAGTGAAGGAGGAAACATAGTGCAAATAAATACATGGATACATTGTATTGCCATGGAAAAACAATTCACTCATCACTGTGTTGTTAGGTCAACCATTGATATTGCCATAACATAGACTAGTATTAAGTCAATTGAATATTGTTTTCCTGAATTCACTTTCTGTTTAGAGGTTATTACAATTCTTTTTTCTACTTTCGTTTTCCTTATAGTTTGTATGAGTTGCTTGAAGTTTGGCTTAACACATGTAGTGACATTTATCAAGAACCTGTCTCTTGTGAAAGAGTTTATTTTGAATGTTATTGGTTGATTTTCACTCAGCACAAGTTTAACCAGAGATACAGTGATTCCAATTTGTGAATAATTTCTTTAATCATGGAAGAAAAAATATGAATAGAATTGCTCTTAAGAATATATAGTAATGGATGTACAGGTATATGTTTTATAAGTTGAAAATGATAATAGAATTATGCAGTTGTTGAAAGATGAATTAGCTGCTATAATGATTGAAGATGAAACTTTCTTATGTTTACAGTGTATATCGTTAATATCATTGTATCCTTAACTGTGTACATGTGTGTGTAAATCATATGTTATGAAAGTTTATACATATATGTAAGAGTAGTGCCAGTGCTTCCTATGGCAATCTGTCATTTAGATGTAAACATGTGTAATGGATTTTTTCACTCATACACTTGCACTTTGAAGAGCTAATGTAATGTATATTGTGGACATGTAAGCATGTTTGTATATGTATTCTGTATATATGTACAAATGTGGTATGAAGGACATTAAGTGACATTTAACACGTGGGCGTATGAAGTACATTAAGTGACATTTAACATCTGTGTACACGTGGGCGTATGAAGTACATTAAGTGACATTTAACACCTGTGTACACGTGGGCGTATGAAGTACATTAAGTGACATTTAACACCTGTGTACACGTGGGCATATGAAGTACATTAAGTGACATTTAACACCTGTGTACACGTGGGCATATGAAGTACATTAAGTGCTATTGTATAATTTTTGTATGATGTGTGTGATTGAAACCAGTATGGGTCATATACGACACAATGCATGTTTGTTTATTTCTGTGTAAGTGATTGAAGTGTACTTCAGTAGACTGGGAGTCGATGTTGTGTACTGTTCTGTTTGTTTGTATATACTGTATGTACATGATGATTTGATTGTTTATGTGAGTTTATGGTGACTACACATAAGTATATAATACATTATGTTGAATGTGTGAGCTTGTTTGTATGTAACATGTTACAGGTGTATGACATAAGGTATTTCTTGAACTTTACAATGTTATAGTGTATATATAGATAGCATTGTCTAGGTTGTGCTCGCAGATTTATTTTGCACCTTTCTTTTTTTGGGCATTTATAAACTCTCTCATCTGATTCTGAAATCTACCTGTGATCGTTGAGAACCGAACCTGATGCAAAGGAAAGATAATTTTAGGCATAATATTTTCTTTTAAATAAGGAAATTTATAAAGAAATATAATTATTTGATATTTTGAGGCACATATCAGATTGCTGAAGTGTTAAACATGTAGTCAGTTCAATTTAAATTGATAAAAGGTGTAATTGGGAGTTTTAATTATTTAAATGGTGGTTTATCAGGTAGTTGTGCTTTGCTGTTTTAATTTCATTATTTAAATGTAATTAATTGAAATAATATTCAATACCAGTATCAAAAGCTGCTTCAGAAAAGTTTGCTCCTAACTTCTTCTGTTATAGAAATGGGGCCACATGTATTTTTCCAGTTCGTCATCCATAGGATATGATCGCATTTACTTCGTTGTTGTTATGTCATTAATGAAATATGATTAATGTCTTTACGACAAAGTTGTTTTATTCATTAAATAATCCTTATTACAGAAATAATTGGCTTGCTAGTTATTAAGTTAATTTGTCTAGGCTTCATGTGAGACAACTTGTCTAGGCTCAACGTGAGATATTTGTCTCGGCTTCATGTGAGACAGTTTGTCTTTACTTCATGTGAGACAACTTGTCTAGGCTTCATGTGAGACAACTTGTCTCGGCTTCATGCAAGACAAATTGTCTTTGCTTCATGTGAGACAAATTGTCCTGACTTCATGTGAGACAGTTTGTCTTGGCTTCATGTGAGACAGTTTGTCTTTACTTCATGTGAGACAAATTGTCTAGGCTTCATGTGAGACAGTTTGTCTTTACTTCATGTGAGACAAATTGTCTTGGCTTCATGTGAGACAGTTTGTCTTTACTTCATGTGAGACAAATTGTCTTGGCTTCATGTGAGACAAATAGTCCTGACTTCATGTGAGACAAATTGTCTCGGTTTCTTGTGAGTCAATTTGTCCTGTCTTCATGTGAGACAGTTTGTCTTGGCTTCATGTGAGACAACTTGTCTTTACTTCATGTGAGACAAATTGTCTTGGCTTCATATGAGACAATTTGTATTTACTTCATGTGAGACAAATTGTCTTGGCTTCATGTGAGACAGTTTGTCTTTACTTCATGTGAGACAAATTGTCTTGGCTTCATGTGAGACAAATAGTCCTGACTTCATGTGAGACAAATTGTCTTGACTTCATGTGAGACATTTTGTCTTGGTACATATTAGACCATTTGTCTTTACTTCATGTGCGACAACTTGTCTGTACTTCATGTGAGACAAATTGTCCTGGCTTCTTTGAGACAATTTGTCTTGATTCATATTAGACCATTTGTCTTTACTTTATGTGCGACAACTTGTCTGTACTTCATGTGAGACAAATTGTCCTGGCTTCTTTGAGACAATTTGTCTCAGTTTCTTGTGAGTCAGTTTGTCCTGTCTTCATGTGAGACAGTTTGTCTTGGCTTCATGTGAGACAGTTTGTCTTGGCTTCATGTGAGACAGTTTGTCTTGGCTTCATGTGAGACAACTTGTCTTGGCTTGGCTTCAAGTGAGACAGTTTGTCTAGGCTTCATGTGAGACAGTTTGTCTTGGCTTCATGTGAGACAAATTGTATGTGAGACAATTTGTATTTACTTCATGTGAGACAACTTGTCTGTACTTCATGTGAGACAGCTTGTCTTGGTTCATAGCAGACCATTTTTAGGTCATCATGCTTCGTCCGTCGTCGTCCGCCATGCGTAAACTTTTCATTCAAACGACTTCTTCTCAAATACTAGAAGGTCTAGGGGGCTAATACTTGGCACAGAGGATACTGGCATGGAGCTCTACCAAGTTTGTTCAAATGAATGACCTTGACCCATTTTAAAGGTCACAGGGGTCAAATATGTTAAAATCTTTAAACAACTTCTTCTCATTAACCAAAAGGCTCAGAGTGTAGATATTGGGCCTGTGACATGCTGGGATGAAGGACTACCAAGTTTGTTCAAATGAATGACCTTGACCCACTTTTAAGGTCACAGGGGTCAAATATGTTAAAATCTTTAAACAACTTCTTCTCAATAACCAAAAGGCTCAGATTGCTGATATTGTGCCTGTGGCATGCTGGGATGAAGGGCTATCAAGTTTGTTTAAATGAATGACCTTGAACAACTTTCAAGGTCACAGGGGTCAAATATGTCAAAATCTTTAAATAACTTCTTCTCAAATACTAGAAGGCCTAGGGGGCTAATACTTTGCCCATAGCATGCTGGCATGGAGCCCTACAAAGTTTGTTCAAATGAATGACCTTGGCCCACTTTCAAGGTCACAGGGGTCAAATATGTCAAAATATACAAAGGACTTCATCTCAATAAGCAAACGTCTATGAGTGCCGATATTGGGTCTGTAGCATGCTGGGAGGAGTCATGGCTTCATATGTGATTTGTCTCGACTTTGTTTAATGTAAGACAATATGGGAGTGTAAAAAAGAATTCTGTTACACTATTTTTCCTCTTATAGCTACCAAGTTTATTTAAATGAATGACCTTGAACAACTTTCAAGGTCGCAGGGGTCAAATATGTCAAAATCTTTAAATAACTTCTTCTCAAATACTAGAAGGCCTAGGGGGCTAATACTTGGCCCATAGCATACTGGCATGGAGCCCTACAAAGTTTGTTCAAATGAATGACCTTGGCCCACTTTCAAGGTCACAGGGGTCAAATATGTCAAAATATACAAAGGACTTCATCTCAATAAGCAAAAGTCTATGAGTGCCGATATTGGGTCTGTAGCATGCTGGGAGGAAAGGCTGCAAGAAAGTCCTGCTGACACGACTGGTGTGCGCTGGTGCGTTATCCTGTTGAAAAATGTCGCCAACGCCATGGCCTCTTAAGAATGGCAGAACCACTGGTCTTAAAATTTCGTCACGATATCGATTGCCGGTTAAATTGCTATTACACAAACACAACACAACAAGCCTGGTATGAGTCCCCCCACAAATACCACCCCAAACCATTACACTTTCGCCGCCAAAGCGGTCCCGTTCTACGACGCAGCAGTTCGCAAAACGCTCCCCTCGTCGCCTCCACACTCTGCGCCTTCCGTCACCGTGTTGCAGACAAAACCTGGACTCATTTGAAAACAGAACATTGTTCCATTGTCGTAAGGCCCAACGGCGGTGAACATGGGTCCAGTTACGCCGATTATTACGGTGACGTCGCAACAAATTGGGTCCAGTGTAGGGACGCCGCGCTTTCAATTGGTAGGCCCTCAACCTGTTGCGGACTGTTTGGGGAGACACACGACGCCCAAACAATGTCCTTGTAGTCTCTACTGCGGTTATGAATCGATTGCGCAAGTGTATCAATCGTATGCGACGGTCATCCCTGGCGGTCGTTTTGCGGGGTCGGCCGCTTCGGGGACGATCGGATGTTGGCCCAGTTTGGTTTAAACGACTTACCAACTGGCAAATTGTCTTAACACTGCAACAAAATGCAGTGCAACTCGACGGCCTGGATCTTGTGACAGCCGGGGCATAATGATAAAGTTGATAGATAGCAAGATTCGGTGATTTCTAAGTCCTAAGGATCTAAGAAACAGTTGTCAGTTTGAATGTTTATGAAATTCCAGCGAAGATACAAGTTAGTCGCAAAAAACCTCGTGCAGCTCTTTCGCTAATACAGACTTTCACGCTTGATTGATTTTGGTAACCCCCTTGGATTTTGTAATGTAAAACATTACCATTTTCTAATATTGCACAAACGTCATTTTGTTTTCACTCATTTACAGGTATTCGCTAAGGAAACATGTTAACCTTTGTTTTTTTGTTGAGTATATGTTTAATCATTTAATCAATTTCTTCCTGATTAACAAAAGGTCCACGGTGCAGATATTGAGCATGTTGCTTTCTGGGATGAAGGGCTACCAGTTTTGTTGATATGATCGACCCTAACCCTATTTCAAGGTCACATGTGTCAATATGTTAAAATCTTTAAATGACTCATTAATAACCAAAAGGCCCATGATGCTGATACTGGGCTTGTAGCATGATGGGAAGAATGGTTACCAAGTTTGTTAATGTGAATGACCTTTACCTACTTTTAATGTCACATAGATCAAATGTGTTAAAATATTTTAACGACTTATTCTCAATAACCAACAGGTCCAGGCTGCTGGTTATTGGTTCTTTAACATAAATGGGTGAAGGGCTACCAATTTATTCAAATAATTGATCTTGACCTATATTCTCTTGGGTTAGGTGAGCTGAGATCTTAATATTTCCTTTTCTATAAGTTTGATAGGTTCAGAGTATGAGCAATTGTGTAGTAGCTAGCAGATATAAAGAATTATTTCAAGTTTGCGAAAAAAAGTTTTTATGAACGAACAATGTCTTCTATGTAAGCTGTTATTTTAGACCTATTTGGCCTCTTTCCTATAGAGGTCTTTATAGTCAGATGGCCGGAAATGCCCGCGAGCCTCTTGTTAATGTTATACTGATTCGGGACAAGTTGGCTCACACTTGGATTTTGACATTGGTAGATAACTATCACTAGTTCTTGAGAAGTACCAAAATTTCAAACGCATATTTTTCTTGTTAATTAGTGGTGCTATCTGTGAGGTTGACTTATAAAACAAAATGTTTGACAGGCGGCCATCTCGGATTTTTATCATTAAAGTTTTTATTACTATTTTTAAGTACTGGATGGATTTTTTTCTCAAATTTCAAATGCAGATTTTCCTTGGTCCCTGTTGACGTGAGGCCATGTCCGATTCTAATAACGAAACCACTGGTTGGATATTTCTCAAATTTCCTTTATGTAAATATAAGATGTATTTTCCTTATAGACAAAGTCATGCTCGCTTAATGTTTGGATTCATTGGGAAAAGGGCGTTACATGTATCACGATCTTAAGACACAGATTATGGAAATTTGGTATAGCTCTTAAGATGGGTATGGATATTTCTCAACTTATATATATGTGTGTATTCGCCTTGGCCGATGGGGTTTACTGTCAAAAAATCGAAATGGTTTACAGACGCCATCGTGAATTTTAAATGTTATACACTGTTATGTATACTTTCTTGGACAGTTCTTAGTAAATCGTTCTCAAATCAAATCTAAAGATTGTCGCTGATCCCTTCTTCTCCATTGATCATTTTTGGATTTATCAGACAGAGTGAAGGCCATCATTGGTTTTGACTGTTTTGGTTTGTTGTTTCGATGTCTTAAAGAACTTCGTAACATGATGAATTATTCATTTCCAAATTTACTTTCGACCCACAGGTAAAACTAGAAATCCATAGAAAAGGAATATGTCTCTGCTTCATTGAGTTGCTTTCCTTGACCGAATGCTCTGTATATTTAAAGAGTACATGTAGTATGATGCCCGAGTTGGACATACACGAAGGTTCTTCTGGTGTAATAAACAATGAAACAATGGGCTTTTTGAGGCACAAAGACTTGGTGTGAATTCCCAACCCATAGTTCATGCAGACGTTTTAGAGCGGACATTCGGGAGAAAACGCAATTTTCACCTAAGAAGTCAGTTTTCCATGATCAAGGAAAAATCTTAATTATTTGCTTTCAGGTCCTTAAAATCAGGGCAAATGGTTCTTCAAGACGGAACATACAAATTTGATATCCGTGATTTGTTTTGAGTTTTCATTCAAGATTTAGTTGAGATCTTATCCAGACCCCCGCGATTACAACAGAGAATTCCCTTAGCAACCTGAAAACGTTGCAAATGTTATTAACCGAATCAAATGTCAGTTACGACGTAAACACTTGTAACCCACAAGCGAACTTTCTTCACAGCGTCATGAAAGCTGTTTTCAGCCTACAAGTACAGCTATAAAGATTAGAGTCCATAAAAACATAAAATTCCAAGATATTACGTTTGAATCCATTGTATACTGAATCACGTTCTGACAAGTAAATTCCGCCGATCATCAAGCTTGTCTAAGCCCCTGTATCAGCCACTGGCTACTGGACAAAAGACACGGCTAAGGAGGAAGTCTCTTGTTATAGGGTGTACACCTTATCAATCTTTATTTACATTCAACATGTTCATATTACGTTTTTATTCATTACACTAATGCATATCAAAATTTTCATAATCACCTTTTTCATCTTCGGTGAATCCATCTCTTTGTATCATAACATACAAGTAAGTACTAACTAAATTATAGCATCATCAACAAAATGATACGGGTTTATAAAGTAAATATTGATAATACAGATTATAAAGTACAACAAATAATATGAAAAAGGATAAGTAATGAATAGAAAAATTACTAATAACTACGTAAAATGTAAATAACGTCTAAAACTTCTAAATACCAAAATAATTTTATTTATGTATTTGTTTGAAAATCAAGAGCAAATATATGATTAGATATTGGCATTTTCGACCGTATTAAGATATGAGATAACCTATATTATAACGAAATATAAAAATTTAAATAATAATGGGAAATTTGATATTTTAGTAGATATTGTATTTGTCTCGATGTTCTGGTCTCGGTAATAAAAAGATGAAACAAAGCATACATTGCATAAAGAAGGTCATACAATTGGGGAAGAAGACCTGGGCCCGTATTCATGAAACCGTTCTCATGCTCAAGCATAGATTTTGTGCTCAAGCAATTTTTTTTTATAATTCACCTAAATCATATGAAATAATACAAATGTCAAATATAAACATTGAATATAGCTTTGACTTGCAGCCCTTTCAAAATTGTTTTTAAATCTTCGGCAAAATCATTCTTATTTATTAATCTTTAATTTAAACAAGATATAAGGCTTGAGCACAAAATTCATGTTTGAGCCTGAGAACGATTTCTTGAATACGGGCCCAGCTCTATACTGCTAGCCTCCTTATACACTCGGTATCAGCGTTTCTGACCTGATTTGTGTTACAACGCTATCATTATCGATAATTTTCCGTCGTCCCCCGATATCAATATTATTGTATATTGGACTATGTCCATCGAGCTTGACCTTCATACTATTGACAAGCAGGATCTAAATATATTATTTCTGATATTAATTCATGCGTCTCAGCAAATATCTACTGCATCAGAAAAAACTACCTTTTTTTCAAATACTCTATAGGGAATGTAGTTTAGTATCGACACTTTACAAAGGGGAATGAAAATGAACTTGTAAGAATTGAAATCCAGAAAAGTTACGTTACAATTTTTAAAAAAAAGTTCTTGAATGTCTCTAACTTAAAAAAAGTAAATTTATGTTTCTAAAATTGGAAACAATGATTTTGAAAACATTCTACCAAAAATACAGCTTGATCTTAACGAGGAAAATGACTCTACCGGATTTTGTAAATACACATCACTGATGGTCTGACGAACTCTCTAAGTGTATGTTGCAAGACATGTCAATACTGATATAAGAACTGTTACCAAACTTTGCAATAAACATGATGATTTGCCTACAGCTTTCAACACGCATGCGTCGTATGTCGATTGGTCCACGTGATGAAATTGGCAAACAACATTGGCTTTGCATGCTTCGCCGCATTCTTCCATCATGGCGTCTTGAACGTTCACCACGCGCCATTTCCAATAGTTGTTAAACTCCAGACTATTTGATGAACTCATTCTCAATGCAAGTTTGTTCATGGAGTTCGGTGACAGGTCATCAATATTGTAGTCCCTCGTAGCATTGTATTCCTCCGCCCACTGCGGGATGCCTTGTGCGTTACTAGCGGGAAGATCCATGTAGTACGTGATCATATTAAGATGGCGTCCTGTCTGTCGGTCATACTGTACCAGACGGATGGCTGGGTTGTGGGCAGCCCCTGTTTTTGAAGGAATCTTATACCGCCAGGGAGTGACGGACGGAGCAAGGAACATCGTTACAACTGGGGTATCTACAACAGGGAATGCAAAAGATCTCAAATACGAAAATAAAAAATGTGTCACTGTTTTGGTGGTAGTTCTGGACGAGGCACGGATATTGTTTGGTTCGCAAGAAGCGTTGATTGGTTGGTTCGCAAGAAACGTTGATTGGTTGATTCAAGTGACATACTAATTGTTTAATTCCCGAGACAAATAAACCTATGTTAATATGACAGGCTAACATATTGCTTCATCAGACACATTGATTTGTTGATTTACACTAAATGGTTATAAATAAAATACTTTGATTGACTGATATTAACTTATAGAGGAAATAATTTCATTAACTTACCAAACAGAAGTTTGAAAAAAAAATATCAATTCATCGTGGTAAAACTGTTGACAGATTTATTCGAACATTGTAAAATACATAGAAAAGCGGTCTAACATACTTTCCATACAATCCTTGCTTTCTGTCAGGTATACAACCTACCAGATTTTGTGTAAACTCGGAAATTATCCATATGTTCGTGTCCAAAATGAAGACCGATGATGACGTCAGAATATTTCCTGATGATTTCATTCATTTTCGTGTTGAAATGGTCGTACATCCAAGATTTACTCATCGTATCGACCATTCCTGGGGGCACGTGACCAGTTATAAGTACCTGGATACGGAAATGCATTAATATTATAAGTTACAGTCACACCTGATTCAGTTTTCGGATGTTTAGAAGCGGATTTTAAAAACAAATCAAATTTAAATGAAAACAGATGCAACAGCTTTGATCTTCGTAAAGGATCTTTAATATTGCTACCTCACCCACCTTTGTATATTCTGATATATCAAGTCATTTGTTACTTTTTTATGTACACTTAGCTCATAAGTTTCATATTGTATGTAAGTAAATGGCATTTGTCTCCATTATGTAATTCAAGTAAACTGAAATGCGTCCCTAAAAATTAGATATAATCAGTAAGGCGCAGTGAAGAAAAAGCGGAAGGAAAAAAGGCTGGAAATTACTTTTGCTCCTTTATGTTGTCGTCTTCTCATCAACATCTATAATTGATCTTCAATATCCTGTAGGATTTGTTTACTCTGTTATCGATAATTTTGCTTTTGTACAATGCACATTCATATTGTGTTAGTGCAGTTTTGACTATGCAAACTTTGTGCCCTATGCATTCTGTCTACAGGTACGTAATTGCACAATTTGCCGACAGGTTCGTTATTGTTAATTTTGACGGCAGGTTCGTTCCTGTACATGTTGTCGGCAGGTTCGTTCCTGTACATGTTGTCGGCAGGTTTGTCCCTGTACATGTTGTCGGCAGGTTTGTTCCTGTACATGTTGTCGACAGGTTCTTTCCTGTACATGTTGTCGGCTGGTTAATCCCTGTACATGTTGTCGGCAGGTTTATTCTGTACATGTTGTCGGCAGGTTTATTCTGTACATGTTGTCGGCAGGTTTGTCGCTGTACATGTTGTCAGCAGGTTCGTCCCTGTACATGTTGTCGGCAGGCTTGTCCCTGTACATGTTGTATACAGGTTCATTCCTGTACATGCTGTCGGCAGGTTTGTCCCTGTACATGTTGTCAGCAGGTTCGTCCCTGTACATGTTGTCGGCAGGCTTGTCCCTGTACATGTTGTATACAGGTTCATTCCTGTACATGTTGTCGGCAGGTTTGTCCCGTACATGTTGTCGCCAGGTTCGTTCCTGTACGTGTTGTCGGCAGGTTTATCCTGTACATGTTGTCGGCAGGTTCGTTCCTGTACATGTTGTCGCCAGGTTTATCCCCGTACATGTTGTCGCCAGGTTCGTTCCTGCACGTGTTGTCGGCAGGTTTATCCTGTACATGTTGTCGGCAGGTTCGTTCCTGTACATGTTGTCGCCAGGTTTATCCCCGTACATGTTGTCGCCAGGTTCGTTCCTGTACGTGTTGTCGGCAGGTTTGTCCCTGTACATGTTGTCGGCAGGTTCGTTCCTGTACATGTTGTCGCCAGGTTTATCCCCGTACATGTTGTCGCCAGGTTCGTTCCAGTACGTGTTGTCGGCAGGTTTATCCTGTACATGTTGTCGGCAGGTTATTTCCTGTACATGTTGTCTGCAGGTTTATCCTGTACATGTTGTCGAAAGGTTTGTCCCTGTACATGTTGTCGGCAGCTTTATTCCTGTACATGTTGTCGGCAGGTTTTTCCTGTACGTGTTGTCTGCAGGTATTTCTCTGTACATGTTATCGGCAGGTTTATCCTGTACATGTTGTCGGCAGGTTTGTCCCTGTACAAATTGTCGGCAGGTTTGTCCCTGTACATGGTGTGGGCAGGTTGGTTATTGTACATGTTGTTGGCGGGTTTGTCCCTGTACATGCTGTCGGCAGGTTTATCCCTGTACATGTTGTCGGCAGGTTTGTCCCTGTACATGATGTCGGCAGGTTCGTTATTGTATATGTTGTCGGCAGGTTCGTTCCTGTACATGTTGTCGCCAGATTTATCCCCGTACATGTTGTCGCCAGGTTCGTTCCTGCACGTGTTGTCGGCAGGTTTATCCTGTACATGTTGTCGGCAGGTTTGTCCCTGTACATGTTGTCGCCAGGTTTATCCCCGTACATGTTGTCGCCAGGTTCGTTCCTGTACGTGTTGTCGGCAGGTTTGTCCCTGTACATGTTGTCGGCAGGTTCGTTCCTGTACATGTTGTCGCCAGGTTTATCCCCGTACATGTTGTCGCCAGGTTCGTTCCAGTACGTGTTGTCGGCAGGTTTATCCTGTACATGTTGTCGGCAGGTTATTTCCTGTACATGTTGTCTGCAGGTTTATCCTGTACATGTTGTCGAAAGGTTTGTCCCTGTACATGTTGTCGGCAGCTTTATTCCTGTACATGTTGTCGGCAGGTTTTTCCTGTACGTGTTGTCTGCAGGTATTTCTCTGTACATGTTATCGGCAGGTTTATCCTGTTCATGTTGTCGGCAGGTTTGTCCCTGTACAAATTGTCGGCAGGTTTGTCCCTGTACATGGTGTGGGCAGGTTGGTTATTGTACATGTTGTTGGCGGGTTTGTCCCTGTACATGCCGTCGGCAGGTTTATCCCTGTACATGTTGTCGGCAGGTTTGTCCCTGTACATGTTGTCGGCAGGTTCGTTATTGTATATGTTGTCGGCAGGTTTGTCCCTGTACATGCTGTCGGCATGTTTATCCCTGTACATGTTGTCGGCAGGTTCTTTCCATTACGTGTTGTCGGCACGTTTATCCCTGTACATGTTGTCTGCAGGTTTTTCCCTGTACATGTTGTCGGCAGGTTTGTCCCTGTGCATGTTGTCAGCAGGTTTGTCCCTGTACATGTTGTCGGCAGGTTCGTTATTGTACCTGTTGTCGGCAGGTTTGTCCCTGTACATGCTGTCGGCAGGTTTATCCCTGTACATGTTGTCGGCAGGTTCTTTCCATTACGTGTTATCGGCACGTTTATCCCTGTACATGTTGTCGGCAGGTTCTTTCCATTACGTGTTGTCGGCACGTTTATCCCTGTACATGTTGTCGGCAGGTTCGTCACTGTACATGTTGTCGGCAGGTTTATTCCTGTACATGTTTCGGCAGGTTCATTTCTGTACATTTTGTCGGCAGGTTTGTCCCTACATATTTCGACAACAGGTCCGACTCTGTACGATTACCGCGGTTATCTCGTTATATTTTTTCGACATCCATGTGCTAGTATACTGGTAACAGGAGAGGACTGAGTAATGCTTTTGGAAATCTCGACCAGAGGATATGTTTTCGAATATTAGTCGTTTCAACACCACTTCGCCCGTCGATCTCTGTGGTCCTGGAGCTGAAAATATAGCTGGCATTGTCATGGCAACATAGGATAGAGGAGACGAGCGAAAAGACGCTACAGAAGAACCAGCAGTTGATGGTCGAATTCCAGCACTAGAGATCCCTAAAGATTTTAGTGATTTTGTGAAATTACTAAGTGAATTAGAGATTTCACGAATTCACTGAAAGTTTTAGTGATTTCACGAAATCCCTGATTTCACAATCTTACTGTAACATATATATATATATATACTTAAGCATTTCGATACCGTCAATATTGTATGACTAACCTTTTCCTTTCTGGTGACAGCATCTGCCAACAGAGTTTCAAGCCAGGCAAATTGGCCAGCAGGGTCAATCAGGTTCCCAGTCAATTTATCAGATGTGTAGTAAAGGTTCGTATTGAGTGCTAAGACCCGGATGCCATGAGCCGTGACCACCGAATAGTAACCCCCTGTCATAGGAAATAGTATTATAGAAGTATTATAGAGAATTTCTTCAAATCCTCAGAAATGACAAATGGACATTCAAAAAATGCACAAATTATAAAGCGTACTATGATAATGAATGCATATAAATGTAAAAAAATATGGTTGTTTTTATTTCTTAATTTGAACATGTATCTTTGATTTGATTTAAATGTTGTTTAAAGGCAGAAATCTCTTGCAGTCAGAGGTCTCGAGCACAATCTAGGTAATTAAGGACCAATCTTGTTTCCTGTAGAAGTAAGAATGGCTTCTCAAAGGTCCACATATCAGAATTAAATGATATCAATGTTCTAGACTGTACTACCTTTCAGGAAGTTTTCTTTTTCTCCTTCATCAGTAATCCACGTAAGCCAATTTTCTAATGTCCGGTTGTACAACTCATTATTGGAAGGCGGGAATTGAGCATCAGGATAGTAGTCATGGTTACCGAAGGTCGCATAGACTGGCGTGGATTTAAACTTTTCGACAAGAAGGTTGGTGATATTACTCAGAATCCCATCGTTGATATCAATGCTTAGATGTTCATCCCCAGTATGTAACACACTGTCCCTGTATTTCAAATTGCACCAATTAAATTTGAATTAACGCGTCCACATATTATTTATAAATCTATTGCAGTAGAATTTTGGGGTACAAAAATGTTAACTAAGAGTCAAGTGTTAACGTTTGTTACATACAGCTGTCAATGTCTATTGTAGCAATCGTTGTAGTTTGATACATTGAATCACTATCAATTAAAGGAATCTTCATCACTAGAAATGAAATATGTCTCGCTGTGTTGCTACATGGTTCATCCATCCATCAGTAACAATTCTCTGTATTGTCAGTCTGTACAGTGTCTAAATGAGACCAAAAAAGTCAATACACTGACTTACCCAGTCCACAAGATGAAGTCTACATCCGGTTTAAACCGTTTCATGGCTTCGACGCTTGATTCAACCAGCCGCCATGGGGCGTCACACCAATAATTTCCATACTCGCCGTGATTTGTGACGTCATCGTTACAGGAAAGGTCAAGGTCAGTGTAGGAAAAGTCGTAATGAAAGTCAGTCACGTGCCAAAACCAACCTGAAAACATTGTAATTGAAAATAATATATTTAACTTATATTCCGTAAAAAACGTACTAAATTGTTTTGTTTCAAGAAATGTTATTACTGTTTCTGATACATTTTTATTTGACGATAGTGTATCTTTCAGAATTACAAATGTTTGAAAGACATTTTCTCGTAAGTGTCTAACTTTCACTAATTCACTATAATATTACATGGTTCGTATTGAACACGTGAAATTCATCAAAATTTACATTTCATAAATTTATTTCCTGCTCTGCAATAACGAAAATAATGACACAGGAAAATGACATTTTTATGTTTGACACCAAATTAGGGAATTACCCTAGACAAAACAGCCCCGCTACACAGCTGTCACAGGATTTAGTCAAAAGAAATTAAGCAAATAACACGTTATCAACCACGTACATAGAGTAACCAAAACAAGCATCTACAATAAAGACGAATTTTATAAAGTACGGCTATGCTATCTTGATTTAAGTTAGTGTTCACATCTCCTTACGTGTCCTTAGATAATTGTAAGGACACAAGTAGCCGTGAATAAAAGAAAATCATTTGTGACCAGCAATGGTTGTTTAGAGACTGGGCTCGAGAGTTACCTCCCGTTAAGGCTATGATTACAACGCCCTCACTCTACCGAGTTAAACGACATTTAAAAGTAAGGTTTTATTTCAAAGTAATATTTTCCGTTTTTAATGTATTCCCAGCATATCTGTGTGTGTTTCTTAGTGTGTATTCGTTTGCATTGGTAAGGTTGTCATTATCTGTAATTTGTCCAAATTATTCTAAACACCTCAGCGTCAGTTATCTAAACCTCGCGTCATTTTTAGAGAATTGCCGGAATAAAATCACGTGCATCTGGTGAATTGGTAACTCAGTTTAGGGCAACGCTAAGGGGGCCTATTTAAATTGTTCGATTGTTAATTAAGGTAGATATTATATACAATGTTTGTATAGCAATGTGAGAATATTTATCAATCATTTTGATAGAATTCAAGTTGTTTCATCCAGTTAACAAACTGCATTACTAGTGCAATGTCAGGTCTGTGGGTTATGAACAGCCTAAACGTGTTTTTCCCACACCATTTGGTGGGTTATTTGAGGAGCTGTTCAACGTAATCCTGTTTAGTATGTATTTGGATTTTTCAATTCCCTCCCAATTGTTTGTTTAACGCTTCAGAACAGATATGTATGATATGCTTAGTCTGTTCACTTTTAATGATGATTAAAGGTCTAATGTGCCAGGGAAATCAGTTAAAGTGCTAGTCAATATCATGTCAATGATAGGGTTAGGAGAAGTAGAAGTATATAGGGCTTTCATTGGTATTACTAGAGACATATGTATTACCGTCGCATGTTAAAAAAAATGGCTTCCTGTTGAAATCGGTCAATGCTTGTGATTCTTGAACACAGTTTGGTGTAACTTTACAGGTCGAGTTCCATATATCAGCACCTTATCCTAATTTGTATAAGTTAACACAAACGTGTTGTTTTTTCTTGTTAAAAAGTAAGTTTTTTCTACCATATTTTCATAACCGTTCAAGCATGATATCCAAGGTAAATGCCTTGTTTCAGTTTTATCCGGATTTGCCTTTTTTTTTTCTTTGCATTTATGTGACTACTTTACTTACTATTGTCTGTAATGTATTTACATTTATCTGACTACTTACTATTGTCTGTAATGTGTTTACATTTATCTGACTACTTACTATTGTCTGTAATGTGTTTACATTTATCTGACTACTTTACTTACTATTGTCTGTAATGTGTTTACATTTATCTGACTACTTTACTTACTATTGTCTGTAATGTGTTTACATTTATCTGACTACTTACTATTGTCTGTAATGTGTTTACATTTATCTGACTACTTACTATTGTCTGTAATTTGTTTACATTTATCTGACTACTTACTATTGTCTGTAATTTGTTTACATTTATCTGACTACTTACTATTGTCTGTAATGTGTTTACATTTATCTGACTACTTTACTTACTATTGTCTGTAATGTGTTTACATTTATCTGACTACTTACTATTGTCTGTAATTTGTTTACATTTATCTGACTACTTTACTTACTATTGTCTGTAATGTGTTTACATTTATCTGACTACTTACTATTGTCTGTAATTTGTTTACATTTATCTGACTACTTACTATTGTCTGTAATGTGTTTACATTTATCTGACTGACTTACTATTGTCTGTAATGTGTTTACATTTATCTGACTATTGTACTTACTATTGTCTGTAATGTGTTTACATTTATCTGACTACTTACTATTGTCTGTAATGTGTTTACATTTATTGACTACTCTTACTATTGTCTGTAATGTGTTTACATTTATTTGACTAAAATTTGTATTGTCTGTAATGTACATGTGTTTACATTTATCTGATATATACTGTAATGTGTTTACATTTATCTGATTACTATTGTCTGTAATTTTTACATTTATCTGACTACTTACTATTGTCTGTAATGTGTTTACATTTATCTGACTACTTACTAAATCTGACTACTGTAATAGTTATATGCCCTACTTACTATTGTCTGTAATTGTTTACATTTATCTGACTACTTCAACTTCTCTGTAATGTGTTTACATTTATCTGACTACTTACAATTTACATGTAATTGTGTTTACATTTATCTGTTTACATTTATCTGACTACTTACTATTGTCTGTAATGTGTTTACATTTATCTGACTAAAAATGTGTTTACATTTATCTGAAAGAACTATTGTCTGTAATGTGTTTACATTTAAGGCGATTTTCAACAGAATTGACGTACGCTTTATATTCAAAGCAAATAAATAAACTCAACTGTTGCATTACGCAATCCGATTACATGACAGTTATCAGTATCACCTGTCACGACTGTCACGTGATAGGCTTGGTAAGACCTCTTACCTATGACTTACACCTATGATAGCAACATCAATATGTATATGATATACTTACATCATAACAACAGTGTAAAGTGGATTAATTAGTGATTGTAAGTTACAATTATCTTTGACGAACCGTGATATGAAAGTGTAAATGTCTTTGCCCCAGTGTACGTATGGATATACTATTCAGTAATTGTACATTACAGTTTATATATATATGTGTGTGTGTGTGTGTGTGTGTGTGTGTGTGTGTGTGTGTGTGTGTGTGTGTGTGTGTGTGTGTGTGTGTGTGTGTGTGTGTGTGTGTGTGTGTGTGTGTTTTCGTGTGTGTGTTTATTGTGAAAAGGGATTCATTTCAAAACGTATTAATTGACTTTGGTTGATTTTAGTGTGTCATGAATCGAACGTGGGCGTGCGTGTGTGTGTGTGTGTGTTTGCGAGTGCGTGCGTGTGTGTGAGGGTGTGTGTGCGAGTGCGTGTGAAGGATGTTTTCCACCTTTGATATCTACAATAATATGTGTTGTTCTTATTGTGAAAAGGGATTCATTTCAAAACGTATTAATTGACTTTGGTTGATTTTAAGAATTTTAGTGTGTCATGAATCGAACAAATATGGACTGGATATTAATAACCTATTGATATTTTACAAACGTGTTTTACAGTCGAGCAATATGTGACACTGTAATAAACAATTGCTCTCGTTATTATTCTAGTGATGAATATGTTCTCTATCTCTTCACATACATATGTATCCACGTACCTCAGTAAATCCACGATAACAATACAGGTGTGTTTATGGTACTGTCGCCTACAAGGTGCTGACCGTTTAATCTGTGTATACGATCGCTACCTGTAACCTGTCGATTTATAGATATCGTCTCCATAGTAACAAACTATTCATGTAGATATGTAGTGTACGTACAATTTTAACACTGGATCTCAGTCTAATTTAAGAGAAAACTTTCGCGCAATGAAGAAAAAAAGTAAAAATCTGTATATATTACTTCGTTCCTATAGCTTTTCATTATTGTGTTAGGAGGTGTAGGAACAGCTGTAGTCAAGACTGCCTTGGAAAGCTTTGTCATTTCATTTATTACAACCGTAACTTCCATTACAATACAGCTTAGTAATTATATTAACATTCACTGCTGATGTTGGTTTCTTATGACTTTCAAAACTTTATTTGAAATAAAATGAATTTATTAATTAGTAAACTCCGTCATTATGACTGTGAACGTGACCACTATAAAACATGTTTCTATCATAAAACTAAAAAAGTGATGTTATTTCGGGCAAATGTTAATATTTTGTTGTGAACATGCATTTATGTTAATTCTAAACTGGTTAACAAATCATAAATGTCCACCTGGACATAAGTAGTCTCTATCGGGAGATTCATACCAGATCTGTTAGGCTGTTATTACATAAATAATACAGAGTCTTAAAGAAAAGTGTGCAGCGGTGTAGCTGGATGACGTCAGAGGCAATCAAAATCTCATATCAAGCTTGATTTTAGATATACATAATGGGAGCCTACTTAAACGAGTCACTTACCTTCGTCTGCTACACAGCCACTCCACGAGATCACTAATAACACACAACATAGGCCTACACAACGAAACCAGTTGATCGCCACCATCTTTCTACCAGGTGTGCCTTGTGAAGGCGTCTTCAGCTGGAGTCGGGGCAAGGCGTAAACTTACTGATCCTTTGAAGTTCTGTAACCAGTATGGGTTGAGCTAAGGTCGCAATTTATAAGTGATGAAAAGGTGAACAAATCAAACTGCCAAACTATGTGAGATTTTCAGCGTGAGTTGTCTGTTTTTGAGGTTGACCACTGCACTGTTATACAAATATATATATAGGAAATGTCTGTAGTCATAACCACGTCTTCTCCTTGTATACACAAAACACAGTTATATATATATAAATTGACTTTTCCCATTGTTATCTTTTAGAGTTACTTCCCTTTGTTTTCATTGGTACCTCTGTCGACTGGTTCCATCTACACTTAGCTCCCTTATGTACGCTACCTTTGTAGTCCTGGCGGAGAGCAAAAAAACTAAGGCAGGAAACAAATCTAGTACTTCTCGTAACACGTATTTGTTTTATGGGTCAGGGCTCGGTTACATAGTCCCTTTTAGCCAATCAATGCTTTACGTTAAAGAGTGCCATGTAAAAACTCAATGTATAAAGGGCATCGAATAGGTTTTGTCCGCATCAGAGTTCATCTTAAATCATTCTAATCTCCCAGAGTTACTGCCCCTTGTTTCACTCGGTCAAGCGTTAAGCTTGACAACCGATGACGCCAAGAAAGACCTTGCATGCAGTGTTGGGAACGAGGGAAGACTTATTAAACAAACTAATAGCACCATTGATATTATCCGTGACACCGTGGAGTGTTTATATGTCTAATCCCGAAATTATTTCAATACTTGTTACACTTCAAATAATGATACACATATATCACTGCTATTTAGATATTGATAGATACATCAAAAACATAAATCTATATTTTCAAACCTTATTGTGTCGACATGAAAATCATAATTATGTGAAGTGCATGGACAAGTTGTCCATTTATAGATATTGTAAAGTTGTCGATCTAATTTTAAAATATGGTAATATACTTATAAGGGCTGATGAGAAACCGGAACTTGGAGTTTCAAGCACGAGCCATTAAGAATAAAGCGTAGATCAGTGACGTATAATTGGTACGGTATAGCGATACGCTTGACAGACAACGTGGCCCGAGAATGCCTATTTCTCCAGAGTGAATTAATTCCGCCATAATTCAGGATAGATGCCCTTTTTTAAAACGAGGCCTCAGTAATGCAAAGGAAATCATTACATTTCGGGTTGAGCAGGGATAACACCCTGGGTAGTTCGGTTTCTTGCCACAATCAGTTCACTCTCGCGCTTCCATTCGGGTCAACAATAATTATTCATATGCCACTATCAAAGACCTAATGTACGAGGGCTGTTGAAAGACGATATGATATCACATTTTTATGACGTCATATTTAATACTCATGACGTTATATTGGCCCAGGCCGATAAATAGTGATCATTTCAAGTTAGCGGTCACTGATATGACCATGCAACCAGCACCTGTAGCACAAATCGCAAATGTATATTATCGGAGACAAAGTTGGTATAAAGATGGTGTTATTAGTTTCACATTTGTTATAAAACTTTTTTTTTAAAGTTATGATTTGATAGAAGTCATTCGTTACATTTGCATCAACAGCAGTTGATTGTAACCGACGAATGTGAACTAAATGTGACAATACAACAAAGGAATTTTCTGTTTCTATGAATACGGACTGGTAAACGCAATAAGCTAATTCAAAATATCAATTATCAGAAAAACCAAGGCTCTGAACTGAAATATTTGTTCCGTCACAGTAACTCGCCATACCTCCTATAATGTAATTTGATGTTATGACATCCATGACATGACAAATACGGAATCTTGAACAATTATGTGTCGAGCAGGAAAATACGTTCATTATCCATTTACAAATAATGTGGTATCATACGCTCAAGTTTTTTTTAAAAGATAGTTTTTTTTAATGTTAATATCTGTATATTGGTACATCTATTTTCCAAACGCGCAACAACCAAGGCCAACATAAATGATATCAGTGACATCAGTAAATAAGATAATTGGTTATGCGTAAACCGCCCAACCCAGAAAATTCGTGTCAATTAAAATATTTAATTGCAAATTGAAAATTAGTTTTGCCTCAATATAAAGTATTAGCCATTCATGATATTTCTTTCCGGACGTCGTTTTGTAGAGTTGAAATTAAATCTCTCAAACGCTTCAAAAGATAATACAATGGTGAATATTTTGTACAATTGTAATGCGTATGTTTTGTACAATCTGAAGATAGTAGGTGGCAGCCACTACTGGTGGAATATTAATCCCCGAGGTTTGTGGTGATTTGTTTGTCGCGTACTTGACGCTATTCTAAAATTATATGATGTATGTAAATTACGAAATTTATCTAATTGTGGGACTGCTGCACCTCCCCGTTTAGATTTTGACTTTTCTTTTGATAACTTTGGGATTTTCTTAATCGCCTCCAAAGCTTCTAATTTTAGGCCCTTAGCATCACTGACGAGTCCTAGAAAGACGAAACAGCTGTATGATGTCACATCACTGACGAGTCCTAGAAGGACGAAACAACTGTATGATGTAACATCACTGACGAGTCCTAGAAGGACGAAACAACTGTATGATGTAACATCACTGACGAGTCCTAGAAGGACGAAACAGCTGTATGATGTAACATCACTGACGAGTCCTAGAAGGACGAAACAGCTGTATGATGTAACATCACTGACGAGTCCTAGAAGGACGAAACAGCTGTATGATGTAACATCACTGACGAGTCCTAGAAGGACGAAACAGCTGTATGATGTAACATCACTGACGAGTCCTAGAAGGAAGGAACAGCTGTATTATGTAACATAACTGACGAGTCCTAGAAGGACGAAACAGCTGTGTTATGTAACATAACTGACGAGTACTAGAAGGACGAAACCGCTGTATTATGTAACATAACTGACGAGTCCTAGAAGGACGAAACAGCTGTATTATGTAACATAACTGACGAGTACTAGAAGGACGAAACAGCTGTATTATGTAACATCACTGACGAGTCCTAGAAGGACGAAACAGCTGTATGATGTAACATCACTGACGAGTCCTAGAAGGAAGGAACAGCTGTATTATGTAACATAACTGACGAGTACTAGAAGGACGAAACAGCTGTGTTATGTCACATAACTGACGAGTCCTAGAAGGACGAAACCGCTGTATTATGTAACATAACTGACGAGTACTAGAAGGACGAAACCGCTGTATTATGTAACATAACTGACGAGTACTAGAAGGACGAAACAGCTGTATTATGTAACATAACTGACGAGTCCTAGAAGGACGAAACCGCTGTATTATGTAACATAACTGACGAGTACTAGAAGGACGAAACAGCTGTATTATGTAACATAACTGACGAGTACTAGAAGGAAGGAACGGATGTATGATGCAGCATCACTGACGAGTCCTAGAAGGACGGTACGGTGTATGATGCAGTTTAATTCATTGTTTAGTTATACTGCAATTCACTTTAATTATGAAATAGTGTTATTCTCTTGTGTCTTTTGTACAATCTTATACTGGTCTATGAGATATCTGATTATATAATATTTTACAGCAAAAGGGAAAATACTCCATTTCGGAAGTTAGTTGTTTTTTATTAGTTTGTACATTAATCCGAATAAGGTGACCGGGACATGATTTAAAATCATAATTCAGATTTTTTTGAAGCTATATAAAATGGCGTCTTCTGTCCTTCGGAGATTTCGTCCAACGTTTTATGTTCATCAAGGATATAATTGTACATCCAAAGTACAGTACAAGTGGGAGAGTCTAAATAGTGGAACACCTCAAGCTGCCGAACAGAGTTTTCTCATGGTATTTATTGACGTATTTTTTTCACTATTTTCCATCTGCTGACGGTATGATAATTTTACCATTTGGTCCTCGATGTTGATTGAAGCTCTGTCAGAATATACATCTAGTGAGTAGACCAGTTTGGTTGGATGTTACACGTTGATCAGCAGTTCCTTAACGGTATCGATGCTATAGACTGACGAAGCATTTATTCCAACTCATGCCAATTACTAGGATGAGCCGTAACAGTCTGCATGTCTACCCTTAACACATGCACGTGACCTTTATTTGAAATACATATGTCCAGGATACCGCGGGCATGTCGGCTTATACCCAGAAAACTGACCAGATTGAAATGCTACTAAAAGGACTACCAGAATGTGAATTAGCCTAGCATGTGTCGGGAAATAGTGTGTTTGTCCAATATGTTAGGTCAATCATCGAGACTTTCGACACGTGTTCCACTGAACACTTGTGTCATTAGTATTTGCAAGACATCTCCATAAATGTGAAGTCCAGTCACAGACATGTTCATGTGAACTGTACCTGTAGACAGGACAAGTGCAGGAAATCCTACAATGACCATGTGATCTGTACCTGTAGACAGGACAAATGCGGGAAATCCGTTCCCAGCAACAGCCTACAATGACCATGTGATCTGTACCTGTAGACAGGACAAGTGCAGGAAATCCGTCCCCAGCAACAGCCTACAATGACCATGTGATCTGTACCTGTAGACAGGACAAGTGCAGGAAATCCGTCCCCAGCAACAGCCTACAATGATCATGTGAACTGTACCTGTAGACAGGAAAAGTGCAGGAAATCCGTTCCCAGCAACAGCCTACAATGACCATGTGAACTGTACCTGTAGACAGGACAAGTGCAGGAAATCAAATCCCAACAACAGCCTACAATGACCATGTGATCTGTACCTGTAGACAGGACAAGTGCAGGAAATCCGTCCCCAGCAACAGCCTACAATGATCATGTGATATTTGATTTGGAGCTTTCCACGTGATCTGATTCTTAGAGAAGAGGGATACTTGCAGTTCTAGTGATGGACAGTTTTACACCAAGTACCGATGAAGAAAGAGGATTCAAACTGAAATAGATATTTCCACAGAATGTGTATTTCCGTCCATAAGATCAATGTTTGCGAATGCATGTTTATCAGTGTATCTGATAATAATAATGATAATAATAATATTTTTTATTTAGACAGGGTGACATACTTAGATAAAATCTAGTTTACAATACGGCCCTGCTGTCGACCTATGTATGTACAAGTTTAATAAGACAATAAAAAGTTACAAGTCAACAATTCATAGAGCAATGTACGTGTAATGTATATACAATGAAAAGTATCACAGACAAACAGGTACTGCTTCATATAGCCTACTGGTTGTAAAACAATGTATTTCATCTTGTACATTTGGATTGTTTTTACATTGGTTAGGATTTCATTAATAGTTCTGGTGGCTGGACTTTGTCGGTTACATTGTCAAATTACCAGTGCTGAATGCAAAAATGATTAGTTACAATTTGAACTCAGAAGTTAAATTTTAAAGTTTGGATAAGGTTATGACTTTCACAAATGACCTCTATCAATACCATTGTTGTCTATTCTACCTTCTATCTAGCCCTTGATTCATTTAGATTGTGGCTTACTACTTCCATATGAATCTTTTTCGTCCCCGTTTGTCAGGATTTGTCTGTTATATTGGATACAAGATTTTTACATAACATTCATTCAACGGTCGTGCCATTTTCATCATCATCATCATCTTGTTGAAAACATACAATTTTACAAATGAAATTACATATGATATTACATAATATGTATTCAAGAATAGTCGTGCATGTATCATCATGGTCTACTAACGTATACATACAGTTTTGAGATGGCACAACATAACAAGTGCATCATCATCCTCATTAGAGCTGTTATAATATACCGGATCTCGATGTGTCGTGATTAGAAAAGTAGGACGATGATATCGCGAGAAATTTTAAGATCGGCGATATCTCCGCCTAATGTAACATTTCTGTCCCCTATACATGTTCAAATACAAATAACACACGGAATTAGTGGCAAGTTTTCATTTATTTTCTGATAGAAATAACTGACCTGTATTAACATTCAGATTTTATTTGATAAATATCGCGATATACTGCGATGCATTTTGTTCCCACGATAACAGCTCTAATCATCATCATCATCATCATCATCATCATCATCATCCATCATCATCATATCATCATCATCATCATCATCATCATCATCATCATCATCATCATCATCATCATCATCATCATCATATCATCATCATCCATCATCATCATCATCATCATGTGATCATCCATCATCATCATCATCATCATCATCATCATCATCATCATCATCATCATCATATCATCATCATCTTCATCATCATCATCATCATCATCATCATCATCATTGATTATCATCATCATCATCATCTTCATCATCATCGTCATCATCTTCATCATCATCATTGATTATCATCATCATCATCATCATCATCATTGATTATCATCATCATCATCGTCATCATCATCATCATCATTATCATCTTCGTCATCATCATTGATTATCATCATCATCATCATCATCATCATCATCATCTTCATCATCATCATCATCATCATCATCATCATCATCATCATCATTGATTATCATCATTATCATCTTCATCATCATCATTGATTATCATCATCATCATCATCATCATCATCATCATCATCATCATCATTATCATCTTCATCATCATCATTGATTATCATCATCATCATCATCATCATCATCATCATCATCATCATCATCATCATCATCATCATCATCATCATCATCATCATCGACAACAAATACAGTGTTATTAATGTAACAAGAAATCACTGCAATATAAATTCGATATAATATTGTAATTTACACACTGACTATTGAATATAGTTAGGAGCTATGATAATCATTATATCAATTTTATGGTCGTACTTTTTGGCCTCAAATAAATATCTATATAGTTTAAGAAGCTCGTTTATGTTACCGACACTAAGCAATCGTAAAAGTTTATAAATGGAAGGAATTCACCAATTAAAAGGTTTTCTATATTTCATTCCTCGGTAATTCCTCCATATCAGGATAGAAGTATATTCATCGTCGGTGTCTAAATTACAACTAGGACCTAGTCCTTGCTCTCTCTGTATATAATTATATCTGCCATTTTCAATGGCCAAATTATGCGCGTAAAGGCGTATTTTAGAGAAACAAATATTTTATAGGAATAAATTTCCTCAAGTTATATCGTCGGATAACATTATTTGCAATGTGCCTGTATAAAGTACATTTAGATGAGATCTCCAGTTATCCTCTCAGATGTTGCTGACTTTGGTCAAAAGCAACAGATCTTTATAATTCAGTGTTCACCTGAACCGCGATCGTCAAGTCAGCTGAACGTTTCAACCCCCGGTGAGTATGTAAGGTGTTCGGTTCAGTTTTCTCGAATTCGGAGGTGTATGAATCAGCTGACATGTTCTATTATACAATGTATGATACGTGTTTTATGTACAAGCTGATATGTATTTTGAGACTGGATATAAAGATGTTCATTTGGTGGTAAATTTTAAGTCGATTTTAACATGTTCAGGAACTTATTGCGACACACAACAACGCTGATGTTAAAACCAAGACAAGACTTGAAATAAGACCTGTGGAATCGTCTACAGTTTTCAGCACGCATGCGTCGTATGTTGATTGGTCCACGTGACTTATCTGGCACACAATTTTTGTTTTGCATTCTTCATCGCAAGATTCCAGTATATCGTTTTGAACACTGGCAAAACGCCATTTCCAGTACTTGTTAAATTCTGGACTATTCGGCGTACTCATCCTCTGTGCGAGTTTGTTCATGGAGTTCGGTGACAGGTCATCAATATTGTAGTCCCTCGTTGCATTGTATTCCTCCGCCCACTGCGGGATGCCTTGTGCGTTACTAGCGGGAAGATCCATGTAGTACGTGATCATATTAAGATGGCGTCCTGTCAGTCGGTCATACTGTACCAGACGGATGGCAGGGTTATGGGCGGGTCCTGCTTTCGTGGGAGTCTTATACCGCCAGGGAGTGACTGAAGGAGCGAGGAACATTGTAGCAATAGGGACATCTGAAATGGAGAATTATTTTAGGAATGATAAAACTTACCTTGTGTTATGTAAAATATAACAAAGAAATTACATTTGTTTTTAACGAAATTTGTTTGCGCTAATGAGAACTCAAAACAACATACCAGATTTCTTGTATACCAGGAAAGTGTCAGCGTGCTCATGTCCAAAATGGAGGCCAATGATGACGTCAGCATATTTTTGGATGACATAATTTATTTTCCTGTTAAAATGTTCATACATTGGAGACCTGCCCCTTGAGTCCACCACCCCTGGTGAAACGTGACCTGTTATCAGTACCTAAACAGAGTTAACTTACACGATTAGATGACCATGACATCAAGATACGTCAGAACGTGACAAACATTATCGGCACTATATACGTATTTCGGTAATCAACGTTATTTTCTATCTGAAAACAACAGTGATGTAGTAGAATGGCTAGTGTTGTTTCGTCCTATATCTATAACCTAGTTTGTCCCATATCTATATCTTGGTTTGTCCTATATCTATATCCTAGTTTGACCCATATATATATCCTGGTTTGTCCCATATCTATGTCCTGGTATTCTCATATCTATATCTTGGTTTTTCCTATCAATCTATCCTGGTTTGTGCTATATCTATATTCTAGTTTGTCCTATATCTATATCCTGGTTAGACCTATATCTCTATCCTCGTTTGTCCTATATCTGTATCCTAGTTTGTCCCATATCGATATCCTGGTTTGTCCCATTTCTATATCCTAGTTTGTCCTATATCTACATCCTGGTTTGTCCCATATCTATATCCTAGTTTGTCCCATATCTATATCCTAGTTTGTCCTATATCTATATCCTGGTTTGTCCTATATCTATATCCTAGTTTGTCCTATATCTATATCCTAGTTTGTCCTATATCTATATCCTAGTTTGTCCCATATCTATATCCTAGTTGGTCCCATATCTACATCCTCGTTTGTCCTATATCTATATCCTAGTTTGTCCTATATTTATATCCTAGTTTGTCCTATACCTATTCCATGGTTTTTCCTATACCTATGTCCTGGTTTGTTCTATATAACCTGGTTTGTCCCATATATATATCCTGGTTTGTCCTATATCTATATCCTGGTTTGTCCCATATCTATATCCCCGTTTATCCTATATCTATACCTTAGTTTGTCCCATATCTATATCCTAGTTTGTCCTATACCTTTAACCTGGTTTGTCCCATATCTATATCTTTGTTTGTCCTATGTCTATATCCTGGTTAGTCCTATATATCTATCCTCGTTTGTTTGTCCTATATCCTGGTTTGTCCCATATCCTATCCTAGTTTGTTTTCTATATCTGGTTTGTCCCATATCTATATCCTCGTTTATCCTATATCTTGTATATCTACATCCTGGTTTGTCCTATATCTATATCCTGGTTTGTCCCATATCTACATCCTGGTTTGTCCCATATCTATATCCTCGTTTATCCTATATCTACATCCTGGTTTGTCCTATATCTACATCCTGGTTTGTCCCATATCTATATCCTGGTTTGTCCTATATCTACATCCTGGTTTGTCCCATATCTTTATCCTGGTTTGTCCCATATCTATATCCTAGTTTGTCCCATATCTATATCCTGGTTTGTCCCATATCTATATCCTAGTTTGTCCTATATCTACATCCTGGTTTGTCCCATATCTATATCCTGGTTTGTCCCATATCTATATCCTGGTTTGTCCTATATATATATCCTGGTTTGTCCCATATCTACATCCTGGTTTGTCCTATATCTACATCCTGGTTTGTCCATATCTACATCCTAGTTTGTCCTATATCTATATCCTAGTTTGTCCTATATCTATATCCTGGTTTGTCCCATATCTATATCCTGGTTTGTCCCATATCTATATCCTGGTTTGTCCCATATCTATATCCTGGTTTGTCCTATATCTACATCCTGGTTTGTCCCATATCTATATCCTCTTTTATCCCATATCTATATCCTGGTTTGTCCCATATCTACATCCTGGCTTGTCCCATATCTATATCCTCGTTTATCCTATATCTTTATCCTGGTTTGTCCCATATCTTTATCCTAGTTTGTCCCATATCTATATCCTAGTTTGTCCCATATCTATATCCTGGTTTGTCCCATATCTACATCCTGGTTTGTCCTATATCTATATCCTGGTTTGTCCCATATCTATATCCTGATTTGTCCTATATCTATATCCTGGTTTTTCCCATATCTATATCCTGGTTTGTCCCATATCTACATCCTGGTTTGTCCCATATCTATATCCTGGTTTGTCCTATATCTATATCCTAGTTTGTCCTATATCTATATCCTAGTTTGTCCTATATCTATATCCTAGTTTGTCCCATATCTATATCCTCGTTTGTCCTATATCTACATCCTACTTTGTCCCATATCTATATCCTGGTTTGTCCTATCTATCCTATATCTATCCTACTTTGTCCCATATCTATATCCTGGTTTGTCCCATATCTATATCCTGGTTTGTCCCTGTTTATCCTATATCTATATCCTGTTTGTCCTAGTTTGTCCCATATCTATATCCTGGTTTGTCCTATATCTATATCCTATATCTATATCTATGGTTTGTCCCATATCTATATCCTGGTTTGTCCCATATCTGTATCCTAGTTTGTTCTATATCTATATCCTAGTTTGTCCCATTTCTATATCTTGGTTTGTCCCATATCTACATCCTAGTTTGTCCTATATCTATATCCTGGTTTGTCCTATATCTGGTTTGTCCCATATCTATATCCTAGTTTGTCCCATATCTACATCCTGGTTTGTCCAATATCTACATCCTGGTTTGTCCAATATCTACATCCTGGCTTGTCCTATATCTATATCCTGGTTTGTCCCATATCTATATCCTAGTTTGTCCTATATCTACATCCTGGTTTGTCCCATATCTTTATCCTGGTTTGTCCCATATCTATATCCTAGTTTGTCCCATATCTATATCCTAGTTTGTCCCATATCTATATCCTGGTTTGTCCCATATCTACATCCTGGTTTGTCCCATATCTATATCTTGGTTTGTCCCATATCTATATTATAGTTTGTCCTATATCTACATCCTGGTTTGTCCCATATCTTTATCCTGGTTTGTCCCATATCTCTATATCCTATCCTGTTTGTCCCATATTTGTCCTATATCTATATCCTGTTTGTCCTATATCTATATCCTGGTTTGTCCTCTTTGTCCTATATCTATATCCTAGTTTGTCCTATATCTATATCCTAGTTTGTCCTATATCTACATCCTGGTTTGTCCCATATCTATATCCTTGTTTGTCCTATATCTATATCCTAGTTTGTCCTATATCTATATCCTGGTTTGTCCCATATCTATATCCTAGTTTGTCCCATATTTATATCCTTGTTTGTCCTATATCTATATTCTCGTTTGTCCTATATCTACATCCTTGTTTGTCCCATATCTATATCCTGGTTTGTCCTATATCTACATCCTGGTTTGTCCTATATCTATATTCTCGTTTGTCCTATATCTACATCCTTGTTTGTCCTATATCTATATCCTTGTTTGTCCTATATCTACATCCTACTTTGTCCCATATCTATATCCTTGTTTGTCCTATATCTACATCCTACTTTGTCCCATATCTATATCCTCGTTTGTCCTATATCTACATCCTAGTTTGTCCCATATCTACATCCTTGTTTGTCCTATATCTATATCCTGGTTTGTCCTATATCTACATCCTTGTTTGTCCCATATCTACATCCTTGTTTGTCCCATATCTACATCCTTGTTTGTCCTATATCTATATCCTTGTTTGTCCTATATCGTTTGTCCTATATCTATATCCTTGTTTGTCCTATATCTATATTCTCGTTTGTCCTATATCTCTATCCTGGTTTGTCCTATATCTATATCCTTGTTTGTCCTATATCTATATCCTCGTTTGTCCTATATCTATATCCTGGTTTGTCCTATATCTCTATCCTGGTTTGTCATACATATCCTTGTTTGCATTGTGAGCTGATTAATTACATAACTTTCATTTATTTATTTCCGTTTCTTTTTTTTTATTCACCACATTTATCCTTAGGATCACGGTCGGTTTTCGGACGGTCAGTTTTCGAACCCCATGCCCAAAAACTCCATGAAATCTCTGTACCTTCTCAGTGGTACCGGATGTAGTTAAACTGACCCCCTTAGTCGCAATACCGTGTTTGCTATATTACTTTATATAACATTATATAACAGTATTCTTTTTTCTTTTTTTTTTTTTTTTTTTTCGAGATGCGTGGTAAGTATCCTGATTTTATTTTTGAGAGCCTTACATTTCTTGTCATGACCTAGATTAATTTATCAGGTGTCGACAATGTAGCTGAAGCCATTTTTCGTAATGCGCAATCTTATTTCCCTACTACCATTTTCAGTGAAATTCCCCGCTTTGTTAATATTCTGCCATGCATTGTAGTCTCTCTTTGATAATTTGTCTTGTTTTTTTTATTATTATAAACTATTAATATGTTTAGATCTCCATAACATTACCACTTACTTTTTCCTTGTTGGTCGTCGCGTTTGTAAGAATGTTTTCCAGCCAGGTAAACTGGTCGGCTGGATCAGTGATGTGTTCGGTCAGTTTATTAGACCTGTAATACAGGTTAGTATTTAAGGCGACTACTCGGATCCCATGAGATGTGACCGTAGTGTAGAAACCACCTGTCAACAACGTAAAAACAGCTGTAAGATAATTTTCTAACACAATGGGGGCCTTCAATTTCATGACTGCATAAAACCTGGTATCACTATTGATTAAAACATGAATTAATATGCTTTAAATTTAAGGATAGTTTTCTAACTGGTACTACCTTTCAAGAAGTTTTCTTTTTCTCCGTCACCATTAATCCATGTTTCCCAAATTTTCAACGTTCGGTTGTACAGTTCATTATTGGTTGGCGGGAAATCATCGTCAGGATAAAAATCATTGTTGCCTAGAGTAGCATAAATGGGCGTGGATCCAAACTTTTGGACGATCAGGTTTGTAATATTACTGAGAATTCCGACATTAATGTCGATACTTAGATACTCACTCCCAGCATGCAACACGCTGTCCCTGAAAAAAATGTGTCTGTTATTCTTGTTTGTGAAAGATATAACATGGTTGTTATCTACCTTTATCAGTTGTGTAGCGTAATCAGATGGGATGTCACTGAAAGCATATTACCACACAACATCATACATACATGTAGTTGTTCACGTCAGTGTAACAGGAGTCACGATATTTCATATTAAATGCGGGAATCGAGCCCTGACCCATCGGCGTAGAAGACTTCTGCACCACAGACGCGGTAAATAACGAACCAAGGGAAAAAGTTTGTATGTTTTATCAGGATAATTGTTTGTTGAGTGTATCGCCTCGTGAACAGTCAGAGTCATTTTGAAACAGTATACTAACTCACTGAACAACATGTGGGAGGCCCGTACACATGTCTCCTAGAGTAAAGCATATGCATTCCATTTCTCATCTTCCTGAGAATCACAAATCGCCTCGGGTACGGAGGAACGAATTAATATTTCACCTGATGTTACATAGATCATAGAGCCATGAACTGGGCTTTAGAAGAATTACACAGTCACCATCCCATTAAATTGTCAATAATATACACAAACAACCTTTTGATTTAAAAAAAATTGTTTTTTTATCAAGATGTGTGTAGGACAACGCGGAGAATTTCTGTCATTGGTCCATTAGTCCAGCTTAAGAGGTTCATTACCAGCAATCTTTCCTGTAGCGTGCTGCGCATGCGCCAGCCCGCGTCGATTTTTCACCTGTACTGTTACTATAGATTATATAGAGAGAAGGTCAAGTATGTTTATCACAGTCTGACTTTGGTCCTATGTATAGAATGTACAGGTAACATGATTATCCCGACTTGACCCCGATTGGGATTTAAGGTGCAGTATGAGTTATCTCCCTTAAACAGGCAAAATTGCTGGTAATGTTTTTCCGAACTTTGATGATATCTTTCCATGTCAAAACAATTAGATGTACTCTCTTGATAGAATGACGCCGACATTTCTATATGGTGATAATTTAATTGCTCAGAAAAGGAATTTCAAAAGTTTTCAAATTACATTAAATAAAAAGTGTAAGTTGTATGGGATATTATGCAATATACAAGTAAGTATATTTGTTTATATAAATACCCTACCCAGTCCACAAGATAAAATCTACATCCGGTTTGAATCGTTTCATGGCCTTCACACTTGATTCAATTAGCCGCCAGGGGGCGTCGCACCAATAATCACCATACTCGCCATGATGCGTAACACTATCACTACAGGAAAGGTCACGGTCGGAGTATGAAAAGTCGTAATGGAAGTCAGTCACGTGCCAAAACCAACCTGCAAAATATGTAAACACAAATTATCATTCTCAACATCAGTGCGCACGACTTTGTATGACGTGAGAGCTTGTCATCCGACGCCAATCTTAACACATATCTTAGATACCTGTATTACCCTGTTAAAATTATTGTTTAAAATGAAGTAAGAGTTAATATTGACTTATTCGGGAATAATATCCGCCATTGACTGCGTGTGGATGTGTTTTGGCAAATAGCACTGTCAACAATTAACGGTTTGGGGCTCGCGCAGTGAACTCGTGTAATTTGTTTAATAACCCCTAATAAATAAGGAACACGGACGAAGAGATCAATATGTGTAATAACAAAGAAAAAAAATCGTCTATCCCAGTTTGCAAATGATACTTCTGTGATTCTTAATCACTCAGAAAAATCTTTAAATGTTAATCTACAACAATTTAATTATTATGCCAAGATTTTAGGTCTCAAAATGATTGTCACAAAGATTCAGGTAATTTGGATATGTAGCAAAAGATGTAGTGTAATTTTCTAGGTATGGAATATGATGTTTACATAGAATAATAAAATAAACCTTGGTTAGAAACTTGTTTAACTGAAATCACTAAGTTCTTGGAGCGGAAGACATCTTACTCCAATTGGGAAGATTGCTGTTATAAAACTTATTTCACAATTTAAAAATCTATTTATAGCTTTTCCAAACCCACAGCACTCTTACATAATAACAAAGAATGATATACTTTGTGATTTCTTATGGTGTGGAAAGACGGATAAAGTTAAATTTGTTGTTATAAATATTTTTTTTACAATGAAGGTGCTTTGAAAATGATCAGTGTGCAATCTTTTGTAATAATAAAGGTAAGGCAGATCTATGAAGAAGATGCTACTTGGATGGGCATTACCTATGAGTATATTGATAAGTTTTCATTGACAAATTATGGAATCCATTAACTTAAAATTATAATGGAAGAATGCACTGATGTATTTTGGAAAGATGCTCTGGAAGCATGGTATCAAGCAGTATCTTCGTCCAGTATATACCAGGAAAACGTGTGAAAATCCATTGTGTTACACTCAAAATATCTAAGTAAGAAATAAACCTGTTTTCTGTAAAGAATGGAACAGTTATGGAATATATAACGTCATTAACGAAGATAATTTTATAATTCTGTAGAATTTCAACATAGATATGGTATTAGATCTAGCTTTTTGGCATTTGTTGGTATAGTTAGTGCTGTAAAACAATTTATGAATAGTAAAATAGAAACATTTTTTTTGAAAAGTTTATCTGTTTTGAATTTGATAACTATATTGAGAAAAACAAAGAGGGCACATGATATGTATACAGAATTAAGTCATAATGTGACTAAGCTACGTCACAAAAGAAAAACAATGGAAAGAAAATGAGTAAGATAACTACACTATAGAATTAACCGTAGAATTTTAACTACAAATTAACTTCTACAAAATGGGTATAAAACAAGACTCATCCTGTACTTTTTGTGAATGTTTTCAAGAAACCATAGAACATCTCTTTTGGGATTGTGATAAAGTTTGTGCTATGTTGACAGAGGTAAAATAACTACTTGCTGAACACAACCTTCATAATGAATTTTAACAGGAGTTTTGTGGGTTTTTTTTTTGAAAATTATGTTGCAATGATGTAGATTTGATAATCTTGCTTTACTTCTGATTGAACTATTATGAAATGTCTTGAGACTTAATTTAACATGACTGAAGTATCACAATCTCTCTGAACTAAATTCCTACATGGATATGATAGCTAATCACAAGACCAAATAATTTAACATAGATTTTGAAAGTAATTATAAAAGATATATCTTCTCTCATGAGAAGCAATAATATTATGATTATAATGTGTAGCTTGCAATTCCCTCCCCCACCCATACAACCCTTTTCCCAAGCCCTCTGTATTTTGTTGTTCTGTGTGGACACATATGCGTAATATACATTCTTCATGAATGTATGATTAGAAGATGTTTTTTTGCAAGAAAAAGGGAAAATGTAAAATCGACTGATTCAGTATCAAATTTTGCTTTTCACTTCTTCAATATCTGTCTACCTCACATCAATCAGAAGACGAAATGAATTTTATATTTCAAATTGATATGGATTGGAGTCTATTTTCCATTCTATAGACATTTACATAGTTATATGACACTTGTGTTGATAAGAAGGGATCTGGTTTGAGTTTGATACACCGACATTATGTTAAAGTTGCTTGATTGTCTTCTCGGCGTCAATTGTTACAAACTAGAGTCCCTGTATATAAGCACTAACCCTTGATATAATTTGTGCATAAAATGTAAGCCTTCTGTTTTACACTTACCTTCATTATGATAAATTACAAGTAGAGAAACGACAATAAAGAGACGAGAAACGTGACGTAAACCATACGACAACGAATCGCCTGGTACATCAATGTATTATTCTCACTGACAATGTAATTTATAGTGAACACACGGCATGTGAATGGCAATGTATTATAGTATAACTTTCAACAAGCATATTTTATGTTTTGATACATATCTGTATATCTTCAGGTAAAAGTCTGCTCAAAGCTTTAGATCCTGTTCACACATATGCCTATAAATACACCTGGTCATGTCGTTGATTTAATGCTTAAGTATTACGGTGAACATAACTGTGAAATGCACATTGTATTTAAATGCATTTATAAAGGAAAAAAAAAATAAAGAAATAATAGATAAACGGATAAATTCTGCAGTATAAAGATAATTCTAATTCTAACTTAACTCCTTTGCACTTTTGTAAAACTATTAATGATTTACATGGAGACTTTAAAAAGTACAGAACGAATAAATTCAATTGAATATTGATAGTAACTAGGTAGAGGATAGACACATACCTTCGTCGGCTACGTTACATGGCAATGATATCAAAAACAACAGGTACACATCTGTACACCGAATCCAGCGCTTTTCCGGCATCTTTCTTCCTGGTGAATGTAAAAAGTTCAAATATCACTGAGTTTCATATGACATTTTGATTCTTAGATTTAGGAATACATATCATCAGTATGGTTAGTTCTTTGAATCAAAATGAATATTTTTATAAATCAAACATTGACGTACGTCATATGAGAAAATGATAACATTTCCTACCTTTACACAGAAGTAAGCGTCTTGATTTCAAAGGTCACGAGGTAAAATTTATCTGAACATTTCACAGTAAAATCATGCGCTTCTCGGACCAGTGGGCAGTCAGGCTTATCGCTATACCTGTGCATATCCTGTTGCTAACTATGGAACATGCGTCACAAACTGTATGAAATCAATCGCAACATTGAAATCTATTATGAAAACTTGTACAGAGTTTTGTATATTGTACGTAAATAAGAAGGAGTTATCTGCCTTCCTATATGACATTCTGAAATATCGAAGAAATTTGTTTGCATTGCAGTTAATAATAAGAATTTCACTAATAGCGATTAATTTTATGTGACCGAGACAAACCTTTTTTTAGCAGGTGACGTTCTTACTCTTTCAATGATATGTAACTAAACTGTGTTACCTACATATAGTATTTTATCATCGAAATAGTATATAAGAATTCTATAGTTCAGATTACCCGAAGGAAATATGCTACATCAAAGTTGGACAGGTTTGAAGATTTTAAACAAATAAATCCCAGAAATGCACTGACAAAATATTTGAACGTATTGTATACAATACATATACTAGATTGCAATCTAGCTTTTACTTTAAAGATGTTTACATGTGTTCGACAGACTTTGATCTATCAGGTATAAGGTAAAAGCTTAAAGAGAAATCTAACTGGTTTATTGTTGATGTACCTCCTTTTAACATCCAGGGTCATTAAACAACGTGCAATATTTGGTTGGTGGAGGAAAGTCGAGGTTTCCACAGAACAAAATACCTACCAGCTGCCTGTACCTTCTTCGTCTTTCAAGGACTCGTCAGCGGCACTTGTATCTGTAAGTTTCAATGCATTTAAACATACATGCATAGTAATCGTTTGTTACTCATCGTGGACATGTCGATATTCAGTTTCCAATAAAGTTAAGATCTACGGAAGAGCATTATTCCTCGACAAGAAAAAGTAGTTTCGTTTATTTTTTAAGTCGATATTTCGTACAAGAAAACATGTAATTAATATTTCTCTGCGTGCCTTAATGATTTTCTGTAAAGATCCTGTTACTTTGAAAAAAAATTCTTGAAAAATAGAATGTTGTAAAATATAACGGCGACACATCTTTAATTGCATCGTGCTGTCATTTTTTTGAATGCTAATATGCTTTGCATTTGTATGAGAAAAACTCTTATTTCATTTGTTTATGAGTCTGTAAACTGTACATATCACATGCTGATGTAACTATACACTAAGGCTAACATATACTATGGTAACTTACTTGGTTCGATCCCAGTATGATTATAATAATTCAAGCCATAACTTAGTCACGTTTATTAAAAAATCAAGTAAATACCGACATGGCAACATAATCATAAGTCAAACTCAAACACCATAAAGCTATGTCAAAATATGAACAAAAGAAAAAATTACATAGAGACTCATGAAAAAGTACAAAGAGAATACGACGCCCATCATGTAAACAAGCTTGGCACTTATCTTCGAGATAACACTGTAAATATGTTATTGTATGTTTGAACAGTTTATTATAAGATATTTGAATGGAGAGTCAGGAAAGTAGGTAAACACACAAAGTGATTCCCAGTTTTACGCCAGAAAAATATTTATAAAATACCCTAGCTGATTCTCGGAATCGTAACCAGTGTTTCTGAAATTTGTACATTTAACCTTGTAGATAAAATGCAGTCTTTGGAGTTTGTAAAGATTAGAGTTTTGTCAATATCTTATCTACATATTGCAATCAAGAAAGAAAAAAAGGTTCTATTGATGTATTGAGCCCGTCTAGAATCACTCAATTACTCATTGAACATAATATATTTTATCGACACCCAGCGGTATAGAATTTGACATGGCTGAAGCAAGAAATGCATCAGAATCGGTCAAAGAATATCACACAGGCATGGTAACTGAACTAGGAGACTTATTTTCGGTAAAAGGAGGGAAATGGAAAAGAATATGTAACCAAGTAAAAACGAAAGGACTTCTCAGCAATTCAGACATAGAAGAGGTTGAAAGTATGGAAGATCTATTTGAAAGTCTAAAGGCCCACGGACAGATTGAATATGGGGAATATTCGAAGATTTGCAACATTCTAAAGGATCGGAATGTTGAAGCAGAAAGAATAATTATGAGCTACACAGAACGAATACAGAAAATGTATGACAGTGAAGGTAATTTAATGCAGCATTTTTCTAGTCCATCTATTATTAGATATAACAAGATTACCGATATTTTTTCTCAATGAAAATATAAAATGAATCTGTATACGAGAATACTAAATGTTAAACTGATTGTATTGATTCTATACAGTATTCATCATGATTATAATATAATAATACATGAATATAATAGTTATCATAAACATGCATAATATTTATATAAATCATTCATTATTATACAGACCATTCTTCATCATTATATATACCATTCTTCATCATTATATATACCATTCTTCATCATTATATATACCATTCTTCATCATTATATATACCATTCATCATTATTATATATAACATTCGGCATTTTATCATAAACAATATTCCTCATTAATATATAATGCTTATCATTTTTGTCGTCGTTTAAACCGAATTAAGTTCACTCCGGTCGATTAAGCTCAAACTTTACACAGCGCTTCCTTAAAGTGCTGCTTTTATGAAATTGCTTTTCAGGTTGGAAGGTCAAAGGTCAAGATAACTTTTACTGTCCTATGGCCGATCGACATCAAGTTTCTTACTATGCTTCTTTACTAATGGTGTTTACATAGGATTGCTTTTGAAGATTGGAGGTCAAATGTCAAGGACAGCGTTACCATATATAGAAGATTGATTTTCATGCGATAACTTGAGTTTTCTTTGGCAATCACACTCAAAATTGATGCAGTGCTTCCTTACCAAAGGGTTTGCTTTGAATTGCTTTTTCAGGTTGGATGGTCAAAGGTCAAGGTCACTGGAACTATTGATAGATAATTTGTTTTCGTACAATAAGCTAACCAAAGGAACTAGCTTGTTGTTGTCTTTCAGGTCAAACGTCAAGGTCATTGTAGCTATAAGAAATTTGTTTTGTGTGATTACTTTAGTTTTCTTGGTACAATTAGTCTCAATCTTCACACAATGCTTCTTACCCAAATGGGCTTGTTTGAGACCGCTTTCAGGTGGATTGTCCCTGTTCCTACCATGATTACATTATATATAACGTTCATCGATATTATATAATATATAACGTTCATCGATATTATATAATATATAACATTCATCGATATTATATCATATATAACGTTCATCGATATTATATAATATATAACATTCATCAATATTATATTATATATAACATTCATCGATATTATATTATATATAACATTCATCGATATTATATAATATATAACGTTCATCGATATTATATAATATATAACATTCATCGATATTATATAATATATAACATTCATCGATATTATATCATATATAACGTTCATCGATATTATATAATATATAACGTTCATCGATATTATTTAATATATAACGTTCATCGATATTATATAATATATAACATTCATCGATATTATATAATATATAACATTCATCGATATTATATCATATATAACATTCATCGATATTATATCATATATAACGTTCATCGATATTATATAATATATAACATTCATCGATATTATATCATATATAACGTTCATCGATATTATATAATATATAACATTCATCGATATTATATCATATATAACGTTCATCGATATTATTTAATATATAACGTTCATCGATATTATATTATATATAACATTCATCGATATTATATTATATATAACATTCATAGAGATTGTATGTAGCTTTCATTCTCAAATAATTTATAATATGGACCATTGTTATATAAATAAAAACATTTATCAATACATGTATCCTATCATAGCATTCCACTCTCACGTAAATTATTCATTACAATGATATCACATAATATGTCCCTTATGATTATGATATACATATAACAATCACCGTGGATATACCATAACTTTCCCTGAGCGTTGCCACAACATAACGTTTTAATGGTAAAAAAACAAATAAACTTATTACTGTTGAATAGAAATAGGTAAACGAAAGAATAATTCGTTTATAACTTTCCTGAAAATCTCTAAAGTCCTAATGACTTTGATATGACTGAGGATATTATATTAGAACATTTTTAATGATACGTTGAAGCAATTAAAATATGAATCGACATCAACGTAGTAAGTTTTAGAAATAATTCAGACTTAACATCGTCCATTTGAATGTATATTACACCTAGATAAGAAGGACCGGAATATATTTTCATTTTGATTTTTAGGTGAATTGCAACACAGACGTAACTCTGAGTCTGATGAACAGAGCGAATAGATAAGAGAAATGGGTAGCTATTTTACACCACTTAGTATTAGATATTTTTTCCAACAATGAATATGATTTATTTTGAAAAATAAATCTTATAACACATAATGCTATGTTGCAGCTGAACAACTTAATATAGTTAAATAAGGGGTCTTATTTCACAATCAGTTTAAACGTTTTGTGTGACGTATCACAGGCGTCCATTTGTCAGGCAAATGGAATATCCAATTGTATTTCTTTCTTAATGATATATTTGATATGTACATTATTATTATGTGTGTTGTTTTAATGAAGTGTTTGATAAACAGATTTAATGATTCATGTCTTGGGACAGAGAACGCAGGGAATCTGAGGAAAATTCATGATGACACACATGATGCAAGGATTGTATATGCTTGGCAAAAAGCGATGGATGCCGTAGGGTTCATTGAAGGACCCAGCGCTAGTGG